TATTCTAGTTTCTAGTTTCCCAGATGCATTTCTGGGAGGGTGGGGAGTTAATAAAAACAGAAAGACCTTGCTGTATGATATATGCACTCTGGTGGGTTTTACGGTAGTTCCACATTCAAATACCTATACTGTAGGTGCAATCTTTCAAAGAACCACAGCAAGAAACATTTGAAGCACTGCAGCTTCATATCTTGTGATAAAATTCCATCCATTCTGTTATGTTTGGGTTTTAATACCCAACCCCTCCAACCTGCCTAAGGCCCTGCCCCTCCCCTTGTCTGCAGCACCACCAACCCGCCGCGCGGCCTCCAGTCCGCCCAGTGTGCCCCTGGCAGATGGGCAGCACGGATCCAGCCCCGGAGCACCGGGCAGGTGGCATGGCCGGAGTGGCCCCAGAGTACCGGGCAGGTGGTGTGGCCAGAGTGGCCACAGCTCTGGAGTGCTGGGCAGGCGGCACAGCCCGAGCACCCTCAGACCTGGGAAGACGGAAGGGCAGAAAGGCATGAACCCAACTCCCGGCCTTGTGCACACTGGCCCCAGCCTGCATGCCCCAGGCTCTGGGCCACAGAACAGCAAGAAGAGAACTTGAAGCAGGCAGAGGAGGGAGCTTCAGGGCAGAGCATGGACAGGGCAACACAAGGCTGTTTGGGGAGGCATAGCCTTCCTCTACCTATGCTACTTGCCGCCCATGCAAGACTGAGTGATCCTATGAAAACAAACTGCACGCTTGTAGGAAGTGTTGTCGTCATCATAATAAATCTGAAGTACATACTGAAAGTGTGATGCAGCACCACTGTGGATTAGCACAGCAAGCATAGCACAAAGGGATCACAAAAAACATAGGCCAGACTGCTCAAGTGCAGACATACCAAGGGGAAGCACCTACAAGGGGCTCTGTAAAGCATGGATTGTGGCGGGAGGGCTGTTTGCTAAGGGACCCTGCAGTATAAATGTCTATGAGTGGGTGTGAAAGTTGTTCTTTGGGAGATTGCACACAGTTTAGTAAACAGATGTGGAGAGGCAAGAGGAATTTGTCTAGGACTGCCCTGCAGTGAGTGGACATGTTAATTGCTCAGCCCATTGATGATTATGGGACTCTGCAGTACTCAGACACATTTATAGATGTAATTTGTGGTGACAAAGTTAAGCAGAGACATGGTAATAATTTTGACAGTTTGGTCAATATTGATGAATAAATGGTCAGAAATGTGACAAGTTAAAATCTGTGTAATCCAGGTGACAATAATCCTGCCGCTTTGGAGAACAATAGATCAGTAGGCACATCCATTGCCGAAACTGTTTCTTCCCAGCAGTTCCCTACTTAAGAGATTTCTCTCTGGATCAGAGGGTTTAAATAGCACATGGCACTAGTGCTGTCATTTCCTCTCTGTCTTTGGATAAGTCACACAGGCCTCAGCATTTCCATATCACAGAATCCCAGATGCTGAGCATAGGTTCAGGTTAGTCCCAATCACATTTCTGGGGTTTCTGAAGAGCTGTGGCTCTGGGTGTAACAACTAAACGCTTACTGCTCATCCAGAAACCTGAGCCTTTGGTAACTGCCCATTAACCTCCTCCCTTTACCTAAGCAGATTTGTAGCTGATAAATCACTGATGTCTGTAGTTAAGTCTAAAGGCACATTGTAAAGACGAAAAGCTGACTGAAAAAGAAAAGTACATACCAGCAAAGGACTTTCAAATACATCCCCTGATTTTCTTGAGCATCCTGTCTCTTAGGGAAGGTTTATTTCACTCCAGCCACTTCATGCTGTTGGGCTGAAAAGCAGATCCAGGAGGCTTTTGGATCCGTGGCCTTGCACTCCTCCACTCACACAATGTGGGGCTTCTTACTCTGGCTGTTAGAAGGCAGGTCATGCTCCCCTGCTGTGCAATCCCATTATGGTCTGAGTGTCTCTCCATCCTTCCCGTTGGAATGCAGCCAACAGAGCATTAGAAGCATATATTACGGGCAATTGAGGGGCAAGCTCTAGCTTGTAAGGCACAAACATACATGCACACACAAATAGGCATGCAAATACTATACACACAGAGCTGTAACACAGTTAATATCTTATTGGAATTGACGTACAACTATGCAGTGAGGTAGCAACTCATTGGAAGTGACAAATTTTTCTGCAGCTATGCAGATTGCTCACAGAGAAGGAAGAAGTCCATGTGGCTTTTTGCAAAGGGCAGGGAGGGACATCTGTTGACCAGCCAATGAGAGAGTGGCACAACAGCTGGCAAGCTGTGGTATGGCAGCAGGAGCAGGATGTATCCTGAGAGACATTCATCCCTTCAACTCAGAGGATGTTCATGGATATAAATGCACCAACTACAGGTAATCTACAGATGCTGCAAAATAGTCATTCACCTCTTCCTTAGGCATGTCCATAATGCCCAGCTCCATAGTATAAGCTTCCAGAACATTGTCCAGTGGAGAGGAAATCTCATCTCATTGTATGACAGGTTTCCTAGGGGGCTGTGACAAAACATATGCCTCTTCATACCCTATACTGTACCCTATACCCTATATTGTAATAATTTTTGTACAAGACATGTCTTGTAAGGCATCACTGAAAACTCATAATTTGCTGGTCACTACTGTCCTGGTAAAATGTGTGGCAACACTGTATGTGAAGTTATAAGATTTCCCTGTATGATGTTGTTATCACATGTTCCAAACCCCACAGCCCTGCGCAGGCAAAAGTCGGCAGGTCTGTCCTCCACACATTCTTTTGTTTTTGCCTTAATTTGGATTGAAACAGTAAACAGAGTCATTAAGCAGGGATGGAAACAAAGAAAGCTCAAACAGGTGAGAAAAAGCCAGCAGGGAACATCTGTCTGCATAGACTCTTTGTCTCCTAGTCCCCAGCTGGAAATGTTTTTCAAGAGGGAGACTGAAACTATAAAAAGGAGGGACAAGCACCCCAAGGGACCTCTCTCTCTGCCCATCACATTCACTGCACCTGAAGTGACAAAGGAAGCATTCGTTGGACTCTGGGGGAGGGGTCCTGACCTACAGGGTTTCGTTTGGTCAGTAAAACTGCTGAAAGCATGTGGTGAGAAACTTTGCTTGAATCTGACATACATAGTAAACATCTGTTAGACATTAGTAAACATTTTATCTTTTATCTTCATTTTTCTTGTAACCATTTCTATAACCTCATTGCTTCTACTTACTTAAAATCTCTTTGTAGATAATAAACCTGTTTTATTGTTTTCTCTAATGCAGTGTGTTTAAAGTGTCTGAATAACTATTTGAGATAATAAGCGGGCATATTATCCCATTTAAGGAATAATGGACTTAAAACATTTATACTTTCTCGGAGAGGGCTGGGCGGTAAAAGACATACATTTCTGAGGAATATCCAGGACTGGCAGTGTTTTGGGGTCACCCTGCAGTATAACCAAGGCTGCTGAGAGCCAGAGTGCATCTAACCTCAAATCTATTTAAAACTGAGTGTCTCCATCTGATGTGTGAGGCCTAGGACGATGATAGGATAGGATTGGTGTTGATGTTCATGTCAACCTGCTCCACTACAGAGGCCCTTGCTGGGCTAATTAGATTCCATACTATTGTGCAGTGGTTCTCAAACTTTTGTACTGGTGACCCCTTTCAAATAGCAATCCTCTGAGTGCAACCCCCCCCCCCCTTTATAAATTAAAAACACTTTTTTATGTATTTAACAGCATTATAAAAGCTGGATGCAAAGCGGGGTTTGGGGTGGAAGCCGAAAGCTCATGACCCCCCATGTCCTGACCCCCAGTTTGAGAACCCTGCTATAGTGGAAGTGAGTTCATCAATGCCTATAATTCTTGGGTTTCCAGCACCCACCCAGATGGTGATTCTTTTGCTTTGCTTTAGATTTTCAGGGCTGCTGTAAAAATCACTGGATGGTCCCAGGTAGTTGGTAGACTCCACTTACAAGCCTGGGCACGCTTTGGATATGGTGTTTCGGATGGGACTGGAGGATGGAAGAATGCATATTAATTACCCTTCTGCTGTTTCCTGTTCGGATCTAAGTGCTGCATAGGTGCATAACCTGGGTTGACCTCAGAGGTATTTTGCCATTTATACATATACACCCGTTACTTATTCATATTAGCAGCCTTTAGTGCAACAGGGCAGTGGCTCTCAACCTCTCCAGACTACTATATCCTTTTCAGGAGTCTGCTTTGTCTTACATACCCCCAAGTTTCACCTCACTTCAAAACTACTTGCTTACAAAATCAGATAGAAGTGTCACAGCACACTAATATTGAGACATTGCTGACTTTCTCGTTTTTACCATATAATTTAAACAATCAATCGGAATATAAATACTGTACTTTACCTTTCAGTGTATAGTATATAGAGCAGTATAAACAAACCATTGTCCCTGTGAAATTTTAGTTTGTACGGACTTCGGTAGTGTTTTTTTATGCAGCCTGTTGTAAAAGCAGGCAAACAGCTAGATGAGTTGATGTACCCCGGGAAGATCGCTAGGGGCCCCTGGTTGAGAATCACGGCAATAGGACACGGGCGAGCTGGGGTGTGTCACAGAACGATGTATTCATCCACAGAGATAAACGATGCCGATTATGTCGTTCAGGGTTAGTTTGGTCTCTGCTCCGTGTCACACACAGGAGGGGCCGGGCTCGCTGTCACGGGCCGCACCCGGGGGCCAGACATGCCCTGTACTGTCCCCTGAGGGGCCTGCTGGGGTGGGCCCCTGCCTGTTCCCTGGGGGCGACCCGCTCCCGGGGCGCTCAGTGGGGCCCAGGTCTCCGCCAGGCCCAGGCTCAAGGGGGTGGATGAAGGCGGCTCTAGCCCGACTCCACCCTCCCGCTGAGTTGGCCCTGACAGAGCGAGCGCCCCCTCGTCGCTGGGCGCGGCTAGCAATGAGTATCGCGCGCGCCTCCAAAGCGCCGCGAGACTTCTCTCTGCCTGACCTCTCGCGACAGCAGCGTGGTGCATTGCCCTCTGACCCCACTGGTCGTCGCAGCGCATGCGCGCGAGCTGTCTGTGAGGGTGTGGGGGAGGCGCCATTTTGGGCCCGCAGCAGTAGGAAGCGCCAGGGATTTGATTGTACGCGGCGCGGGGGTCGGAGCGGCAGGTCCCCAGTACTAGGCCGCGAAGTTGGGGCCCTGCCCCGCCCCCTCCACCAGCAGCCTGCGAGCCCTGAGAGGGAGGCGGGGGCCGGAGGCCCGCGATGGAGGCGGAGTACTACGGCGGGGACCAGTCAGGTGCGGGGCGAGAGGCACCGTTTTGGGGGGTGGAGGGTTGGGCTGGCGGCTCCTGGCCCAGGGCAGCTCCTTCAGGGGAGAGATTCTCACCCCTTTTCCCGGGCAGCGCGGTCAGGCCCCTCCGACCCGAGGGCTGGACTCCTGTCTCCGCACGGCTTGTCTGTGGGCCGAGCGCGGGGTCGCCTGGGCTGGGGAGAGAGGAGCGGGGTGTAAGGGGCGGCATGTCCCAAGAGTGCGCTCGTGGCTCTGCCTCGGTGGCAGGCGGGCTCCGGGGGGCTGGGAGGCAGGCTGGAGGCTGATGCGGGGGGGCTCTCTTGGGGGCAACAAGCTGGGTGACACCCTGGGGTGCTGACAGGGTTGTCCTTGGTGGGGAACTGGGTGACACCCTGGGTGCTGATGAGGGCAGTCCTGGCTGGGAGGGCCTGGGTGAAAGGCTGGGGTTGTCTTTGGGAGGCGATGCCTGGGGTGTTGAGCTGAGCGGCAACAGGTCTGTTTTGGGCCGAGGTGCGTGGGTGACAGGCTGAGTGGTGACGGATTATTTTGTATTGCTTGGAAATGGACATGCTTGGTGTTGACCAATATGGGTGAGACAAATTAAGCATGTGGTTGAGAGATGCTATCAAAAGCCAAAGCGATTACTATGTAAAGTTCTCATTACTATCACTTACCATTTTTAAATCAGGAGGAGTTATGGAAGCTCAGGATCTCTGAGAATCAGGTCATTAAGCTTTCTCTCCCACCCCCCAAAAAGTTCTTTCCAAACAAAGTATCCCATTTGTTTATTACACGTAGATGTTTCTGACTTATCTAATAGAACCTCCACAACTGTCTTCAAAGATATCTTAGTCTCAAAATGATGCATACATCACACTGTCTGGTGAATTATTGTAGATTGTCTAGGTTATTGAGGATGTCATCTTCAACCAGGTTAACTCAGCTGAGCTAGCAAGAGGTCTTGCATTAGCTAGGATTTAACGTTGACATTAGCACATTTTAACACATGGTAGGTACTAGAATTTAACTCAACTAGTTTAGCTTGTGCCTTGTCCATAATAGATTTTTAAAACTTGTTAATTAGCACTGTTGGCTAATATGCTTAACATCTCTAATCTTAGTCTAGATGAAGCCTAGCAGGCTATAGCTTGATCAGCTCAAATGATTTAAGGTCCTGGTTCGGTGAGCAAAAAAGAAGGGTTTTCAAATGTCAGCTCGGTCAGGTTATTTTCACACAGTTAAAAATTCCTCTAGATTCTCATTAATGGCATGTCTGCCATGGAAAAATGGGGGTGCTTCTAAAAGATGATAGCTTATATGTTTTAAAATCCTGGTGCAGTCAGGGCAAGTTGTAGTTCTAACACGTTAGCTGGTTGAGGTGAACTAATACTTGTTAAAAATACAGCTTGTCCTATCTCTGCTAGACTCTTAAAATACGTTAACTATTGCATTTTAAAAAGACACCTTTTTCCTAGTATAGACAGGACCTAATGTGTAGGCCAGCATGTTTGAAGTTAGGTGGCTATATTGTGTCCTAGACTCCTCCCTAGGATACAGCACAACCAACTAACTTGCTATCAAATGTGTTAGCCTGCATATTAATGAGTATTAAGATGACTTTGAAATTGTGTTAAAGTAATTCGATTGTGCTGATATAATGGAAGAAAGCACCCTTTTTGGCTGTTAAGACAGCCATGGTTGAGGGCTTGACCACATGTCACTTTTGTGCAGTTCTTGTATGGTACAACTCTCTAGTGTGTCTGCAGCTACTGGTGTATATAGTATAATTGTGGTTAGTCTAGAGTAACGGTTCTCAACCTATTTTCCATTGTGGGCTGCATGTGCAGCTCTCTGTGTTATATGTGGGCTGCATCCATGCAATATATATCAGGGGTCTCAAACTCAAATGACCACGAGGGCCATATGAAGACTAGTGCATTGGCCCAATGGCCTCATCACTGACACCCCCCCCTTCGCTGCCTCCGCCCCCACTCCGCCTCTTCCCACCCCTGCCCCACCCCCATTCCAACCCCTTCCCCGAAGTCTCCACCCCCTCCCAGCCCCCAGGGGGTGTAGGAGGGGTGCAGGGTACGGCAGGGGGCTCAGGGCAGGGAGTGTGGGGTGCAGCAGGGGGTCATTGTGCAGGGTGCGGCAGGGAGCTCAGGGCAGGGGGTCGGGGTGCAGCAGGGGGTCAGGGTGCAGGGTTCGGTGCGCCATGGGGAGCCAGGGGGCGATCCTGCGGCTGGATTCGGCCTGCGGGCTGTAGTTTGTCCACCCCTGGCCTGGAGATACACCAGGACGGGGGGACGCAGGGAGCTTGGCGGGCCACACAAAAGAACCTCGCGGGCTGCGTGTTTGAGACCCCTGATATATATACTACTTGGGTGGCCCTGAGGATGTCATATGGGCTGCAGCTGTCATATGGGCTGATTGTGCTCTGGTCATGGGAGTTTTACCATTTTAACTACATCTGTTTCTAAACAGTAGTTGTTGTAGTACAAAAACTGCAGTTCAGCCCTAAAGCATGCAGGTAATTAACATCATTAGGTCTGTGACAGGTCTACTTAAGTGTGACTGAATATTAAATGATTGATTTTATGATACACATAGTATTTTTGATGATCACATGAGCCTGTTGGTCACATTGTTATGCTGTAAGTTTCTATGGCCTGTGTCTCTAAGAGTAGTGAGGATCACAGTGGCGGATTTGCCTCTACCTCAAATTTTCCTGATAAATTTTGTTCTGGAGATAATCTAAAGTGATTCATTTTAAGAATGTAGATGATGGGAGTCGCAACCGATAAAGGCACTGCTATAAAAGCAGCAAATTTTATTCTTTTGTCATTTAACTGGTAGTGTACTGTAGCTTCTGGTTGTATGCTCTGAAATCCACTACTTGCTGATGTATTTTTCTGTCTTTTAACAGTATCTATTGTTTTAATTCTGGAACTGGAAGTTCTGGTTGAGAGTCTTGCCTGTTGGTTCTCTGATTTGCAAAAATGTCAAAAAGCTCATATTTTATAGATATTGAAAGATGTTAATGAATCTTACTTTTTTTTTAATTTGGTGCAGATGATGGTGGAGCCACCCCAGTACAAGATGAGCGAGATTCAGGGTCTGACGTTGAAGATGATGTAAATGATCAGCATTCTGGATCAGACAATGAAAGCTTAGGGCATCATTCAGAGGTACCAGTGAAATGTTTGGTTTGATCAAATAAAAACATGACTTTCTGTAGCCTGAGTTTAAATGAGAGAGGGCCTTACTCTTAATGGAGATTAATTTTATATTGGGTTCCTTAAACCAGACCCTTAGAGTAATCTTGTAAAATTTACTTGCCTAGACAGCCAGGGGATGTAATTTTTTAGCAAGTGAGTAGGATAATAGTTTTCTTATCATGATAAAAGAATAGATTCTGTGCTTGAGCTAGTAAAGTTTACTCCTGAGGGAATTCTGCACCCAAAAAAAAAAAATTCTGAACACCGTATTTTAAAATTCTGCAAAATTCTGCATATTTTATTTGTCAATAAATAAATGTGGAGGCTCCAGCATGGCAGTGGGGAGCACAGGCCACTGGCTGCACAGAGGTGGGAGAGCACCTTGCAGCCCCTCCCCGCCCCTTCCCAGGATACGGACTTAGCAGTGAGGCTGCATCCAACCCTGACATAGCGCAAGGGCCAGGCCTACCCCAGGAACACCCTGGAGCCCTGCCCCTCCACGCCAGTTGCACCAAGACAGTAAGCGAGAGGGACAGTCTCACACGCACGCCCAGCCCTGGCTCCTGATCAAGGTGTGCGGCAAGCAGGCTCAGCCCAGCAGGCTCCAAGTCTGGAGGCAATTAGTGTAAGGGGATTCAGGTGTGGAGCGAGAGAGTTCTGTGCGGGGCAATATGGGTGCAGGCAGCCTGGAGGGGGGAGTTCTGGGTGCAGATGGAATGGGACTCTGCAGGAGATCCAGGTGAAGGGGTTGGGATTCAGCGAGATGGTCTGGGTGTGGGGGAATGCATAGGGATCCTGGTGCTGGGGGAGTGGGCTTTGTGGGGTGGAGGTCTGGGTGCAAGGGCCTCTTCAGGGTGATCCAGGCAGAGGTTCGAGGGGAGGGGCTCAGCAGGGGGTGGCCTGGGTGTAGGGGTGGGGGAATCCAGATGCAGGGAGGGTGGGGCTCAGTGGGGGAGTTCTGGATACAGGCAGCTGAGGCTCGGCGGGGGTCTGGATATGTGGGGGGTCTGGATACACTGGGGTTGGGCAGACAGGAGAGCAGTTCCCCATATAGTGACTCCTCCTCCTTCAGCTGAGGAGGGATGCCAGCAAAAAGCAAGGGGAGGAGGGGCAGAGCTTCCTGCAGCCGGAAAGGTTTCCGGGGGTGGGTGTGACCCTGCCCTGGCCGCTCCTTGCAGGGCAAGAGAAAGTCTTGTCCTGTCCCAGCCCAGCTGGGACTAGCAGCTGAGCCTGGAGCAGGGTAGGGCATCTCCAGCATGTGTCCGTCTGTCTCCCCTACCCCCCTTTCCTCCCCCGCCCCTGGGCAGTGATTTATATCTCCACTGGCTGTTCCGGGTGCCCAAAACGGTGTGCCTGTGCTGTTGGTGAGAGGCTTGTGACCACTCTTGTAGCTTCCCTTTGCTTCCCTGTCATTTTCTGCAGGGAAGCAAAGAAATCTGTGTGGGACATGAATTCTGCACACGTGCAGTGGCACAAAATTCCCCTAGAAGTAAAAGTTTCATGATAGTTTTGCAAGGATGCTTTAGAAATATCCTTACAGACATCACAACTCATGAACATAGCTGCAAATAATGTCAAATATATTTGAAATGATAAATGCTGTTTTTCAGGGATTTGTAGCTCAGCATAAAATTTTGCATGTTTATGCTGAAGTTTGTCAGTACAGGAGTAAATTTTCTTGGGGAAAAAAATCCCAGAACAAACACATTAAATTACAGAAAGGGCATGAGGAAAATACATCTTCACTATTTTGGGTGTGTTGTGATGTTTTTCTACGTCAAAAAGCTCATCCATGTGGGAAGAGTACAGGTGCCTCTGTTCTCCTCCTTGCAGTTCATGGTATGGATGGTTCCTCATGTAGTCTGGAATCCTTACCGGGAAAGGGGGTAGAGTCAGGATGGTACAGGAGTGGGATGGGGTGGACTTAATGTACTATGACTGGAGTTTTGGAGTGGGATGTGGAGGGGGAAGCACTGCCAGAACTGCTGCAGGGATACTGCGCTTTCATGCACATCCCATGGGATCTACCAGATTAAAGAGTAAGTTTACCATGGGCTGCAGAGGATTTCCCCATCCCTTCCCCTCTCCCCATCACCTGACAGGACATTTATGAAGGAATCTCAACAAGGATTTCTTTGCAAAGTTTTCTCACCTTCCTGTGGCTTCCATCATGATATGGTATAATCTGGGCCTATGAAATTCTGTCTTTTCCTAGTCAATGATGTGAAGAAGGACCTATTCACACTTGTTGTGAAATGCCTTAATTACAATTTGGATATCTGCTTGTGTGCAGTAACTTTCTTGTGTAAGTTGGTTCTGTGTTCCAGGTTGACACTACATGACGTGGTTGTCTCTGGATGTATATTACGCCGTACAAACTGTTTAAATTCTTAATGTGGTACACTGTAACAAACTGAAAGCCTTCACTCTTTTATGTAGCTTAGCATGCAAGCCTATTTTGTTCTTGCAGAAGAGCTATTTGTGCTATATTTTATTAAAACCCCAAATGTTGGAAAGAGAAAATAGAACAAAGTATTTTTATTAACAACATGAAATATAATTTTTTTTAATTTACTTAAATTCAAATTTTAAATTTAGAATGCCCTGTATGGAAAAAAAGTAAGTTCTTGCAGTAGAAGAAGCCAGATCAGAAATGTGATTAGGTGTCTTCTGTGGGACTGGGGAAGCTTGAGGGGTGACCCTGTGTAGGAGCAATTTTCTTAGCATAAGTGAGATGATAGGATCTCAGAGGGATTGCTTCAGTAGGTGCAGGATGGAGATCAGGTAGTGTTTTAGGGAATGAATAGTTTCAGAATATGACAGGAATTGCAAAACAAAAGAATTACCAGTCTGATCAGGGAAGATAACATTGGCAACTTGGGGCCATTAGCATTTCATCTGATGTATGAGGGTTGAGTTAATCATTCAAACTCTTGTATATTCTTGTGAGGCATTACTGTTACATACTGCATTTATGGTCATTTGAGATCTGGTTTAAATACACAAGCAATTGCTTTCAGACTGTCCTTTGCATTAACAGACAGAATTTTTTCACATATTCACTGCTATTAAAAACATTTGAGAATACTAACATTAGGGAGCTATCATCACTCTTAACTGACCTTGTTGTACATGTGCATGACAGTATGTAAGGGATATGTAGTATGTAAGGCAGTGGTCTCCAACCTTTTTACACCCAAGATCACTTTTGGAATCTAAGGGCAACCCAGGATCTACCCCTGCACCTTCCCAGAGGCCCCACCCCTTCCCCAAAGCCCCACCCCGCTCATTCCATCCCCCCCTCTTTCCGTCGCTTGCTCTCCCCCACCCTCACTCACTTTCACCAGGCTGGGGCAGGGGGTTGGAGTTCAGCAGGCTCTGGGCTGGGGCCAAGGGGTTCGCAGTGTGGGAGGGGGCTCTGGGCTGAACCTGGGGCAGGGGGTTGGGGTTCAGGAGGGTGTGCAGGGTGTGGGCTCTGGGCGGGAGTTTGGATGCATGAGGGGACTGCGGGCTGGGGCAGTGTTGGGCTGCAGGATGGGGTATAGGGTGCTGGCTCTGGGAGGGGGGTCAGGGCTGGTTCAGAATGTTGGGGTGCAGGATGCTGGCTCTGGGAGGAGGCTCTGGGCTTGGGCAAAGTGTTGAGGTGCAGGAGGGGTCTTGGGGTGCTGGCTCTGGAAGGGGGGTCAGGGTGGGGTTCAGGGTGCAGGGGGGGTATGGGGTGCTGGCTCAGGGATGGGGGTTGGGGTGCGGCCTCCCTCCAGGCAGCACTTATCTCTGGCGGCTTCTGGTTGGCAATGGGCACAGCAAGGCTAAGGCAGGCTGCCTATCTACCTCGGCTCCATACTGTCCTGAAAGGGGCCAATGCGCCCCTGTGGCCCCGGGGGGGCAGTGGTGTGGCTCTGTGCACTGCTCCTCTCTGCAAGCACTCCCCGCAAGGCTCTCCTGGCCAATGGGAGCTGCGGGGGTGGTGCTTGCAGGCAGGAGCAGCACGCAGAGGGAAACCCCTGTTCTGCAGAGCTGCACTGGCCGCTTCTGGCAGTGGCATGGGTCCAGCGTTGGCAGGGAGTCTTCCTTAGAGGCAGCCACATTGCACCGCCGGAGATCACGATCGACAGGGAGATCCTCTAGGATCGACCGGTTGGTGACACTGATGTAAGGGGTAGGTACACTCTGGCTTGTTTGGAGACTCCTCTGTATTTGAAAATGGATAAAATAATCAGTCCAATTAATTTCAAACAAGACCCCAACACTAGATTTTATAGATATTTGGGTAATCTTAAAAACCACAAATATATTTTAAAAAGTGTTAACTTTGCATGCCAAATCTTAAGGTACAGTAATTTCCAGATTTCCTACAAGTCAAGGTTAGAGTTGTAGTTTAAATTAGAACACACTAGAACCGTCCCCCAAAAGGAATGACTTTCAGTGATTCACCATATTCTCCTTTCTGAATTTGTTTTCTTATGTCCTCTTATTTTTTTCATCCATAGGAAAATGTGGGAAGAATGACATTCAAGGGTACTAAAACCTTTGAGAAAGCCTAATCAGATAAGTCTTTTTAATTACTATTTCGTCTCTAAATTAGAATTCAATTAGATTTTTTTAAAAACTAACTTTTTAAACTTCTTTAAATTTTCAAATTTCTTTTCCAGGTTCTTAACTTAAAGAAAAGAGGGCTCTTGAGGATTTATTTATGTAGGTCTTAGGTTTGTGGGTCTCAGGTATGTGGGGGTTTTTCCTTTCTACAATTCTTTCCTGGCTTTCCTTCCCCCATCCCACTTTATCTATAAATGTTTTCTTTGATGTCCTTATCAGTTCTGTTTTAGCTAAATAGAATTAGATAACACAATTTTAGTACAGTAATGCATATTAAATCAAATTTACAGTGTTGGTATGATTTAAGGGGCCAGATCCTGTGACCAGGCCCATATGGAGCCTTACTGACTGCAGTGGGGCCCTGTGGGTGTAAGGATCCATCTCTGCATATTCAGTTGCAGAATTGGGATTCTAGGATTTTATGGAAAACATTTTATTTACCTTGGATTTTTAAATCAAAATTAATTGCCCGATCACCATTTGATGATTATATAAACTTTGGTGTAGTAATTCATGGGATCATACGGGGTGGCTAACTTTTTAACTTTATGCATTGATCCAATACTTTATTTACTAATCTGTTAATGTTTTACATAGAGGATTAAAACTGTAAATTTGATTTTAATACATTTGTTACAGTGTACTGTACTAAAGTCTGCTGCTGTTGAATTCTTTCAGCTAAAAAAAGATATAATTAAGGACATCTCAAGTAAAAAGTTCATAGATAAAGAGAAGGAAGAAAAGAAAGCAAAGGAATTAGAGCAAAAAATAGGGTGGGGAACAACTATCTGAGACCTACCTATCATTGACATTGTCTGATCTTTTCTTTGAACTAAGTATTTGGAAAAGAAAAATAGAAAACTTCTGATATTAAATGCACATGTGTTGCATAATTTCTTCTGAACAAATTTTTAGAGACGAACTAGTAAAATAACTGTCTCACAAGGCTTAGATCCCAACCTTCTTTCTTGCTTCATTTTCTAGTTCATTATATTTAGTTATTTAACTAAAATAATATCTCTACAAAGTCACATTCTTAATGTTACACATATAAACTATGTACTCCAAGACGGACTTTCATAAACTGTTTTATTCATAAATGCTTTTCAGCCCATATAGTTACTTGTGTGTTTTCTATTGTATTCTTTGAAACAGGTCTTTAGAGTGCCTATTATTTATTTGTAGGAAGGTAGGGCCCAGAGGCTTTAATCAGGATTGTGTGAGGCCCCATGTTGCTGAGCTCTCAACAAACAAAATTAAAGACAATTCCTACATCAAACATCATATAGGCTGAATAGGATGTTAGCTCCTCTTCATTCTCAGGAATGACCTGATGCTTACTGTCAGTCTGTCACAGGCTTAGAGAGATATGTTGCATCCTATGGAAACAACATTAATGCTGCTGGAATTGCTATGATTTGCTATTGCAGTGTGATTTCTAAAATATGCTATTAATGTCTCTGCGTGATTGTTCCGTTTTGATTTCTTACCAACTAATATGAATACCAAGTTACCAAGATCTTTCTAGTGTATTCTGAAAGATAAACCAGTTGCCTACAGCTAACGCTATTGACTCAGGGATCAAATTGTTTTACTTTCTCATTACATATCCCCCAAAGAGTTTCCAGCCCTGGCAGATTGTAAGATAAAGGACTTAAACATTAATATTTGTACCTCTGCTGCTGTTTCCCTTCCCAGAAAAATCTCATGCTACTGCTGGCATGAGCAATTCCTGGTTTCATAATGTACAGTTCAATGAAATTAAATAAAAAAAAAAAATAACTTTAGGAGGGTGGGTGGGAAGGTACAAGGCTCTTCTACCAGAAGGTGACCAGAAGTTCCTCTAATCCTCCCAACCTACAGCACTGACCAGCATTCACTCTGTAGATTCCATCCTGACATTCTTGATTACACCGCTGACAGTCACAGGTATTCTTAACCTTTCTCTTCCTCAGCTGCAGCTTTCTTCTTGATTGTAACTTCCTGTTCAATAATGTGTTGAGAGAAAGCATGCCAAGTGCAGCAATAATCTGTAGATGTACTTGACATGTTTCTAGTACATTACTTAAGAGGTACCTTGCAGTGGAGGGGAAGAGAATCAGTGTTATGATTAGCTAGTTCCAGAGGGAACCTGCAGTGACTTGTGGGAGGTGGTTAGTACTGTGGTCAAGCAGAACTACTTGTCCCAGGCTGCTGGAGGATTTTCTTCTACCTTTATAATGAATTTTTTTTTTGAAAATTAATATATTCTCTAATTGTGCACTGTAGTTTCTTATAAACATAGAAATTGGGAACTACTTAGAATATTAACATCATCATCATGAGATTCAAATGGCCTCCAATGTTACAGGGAGAGAGAACCAAAAAAAAGAGAGAATGTTAGCTTGCTTTTGTGGTGGTGCTGAGAGATTTTACATGAGTAACATTCAGTAACATTTTGAAGATGCATTTGGTCACATGCATGCTTTAAGATCATGTAGTTCTATCTTGCTGCTTCCTTGTGTCTGCAGCTGTGGTGGAATTTAGCAGATAATATCTTTGGACTAGTTAGAAATAAATGCATCACTTGAAACCTGGGATCTAAGACTGAATAGTAAACAGCATTGCTTTTTTAGCTATCATGAATCTGGAGACAGTAGTTGCTAAAATCATGATCAAATTTCAAGTGTATGTACATGAGAGAATTTTAAGTAAAACTGGAAATTAACAGTGCTCTTCAGTTTAACTCTGACGTAAATGCATCTGAAATATTGTATGCCATTCTCAGTTGCGGGGAAAAATGCATATAGAAGAAATAGGTGAATAAGGAATGCAGCTTCCCAAGGGAGTTAAACTCATAGCCAAGTGAGGATGTGGGGGGAGATATGTCTATAAATATGTTCATGGTAAATAAACAAAAGAGAGAAGTTAGTAATTTTGTAAAGATGGTAGAGCATGGAGCCTAAAGCTAAGGAAGAAAAAGTTTAGACTAGGCAAGAGAAAAAAACTTAGTGAGAAGTGGAGATGTCCCACTTGAATCAGTGCTGTAGAAAGAACAACTGAGTTATTTTTACTGTGCTATATTCTCTGTTTGGGAGGGGACAAGCTTATTCTGGCATTGGAAGTTTGATATGCTGAACTATTGAATTGGATAATATCTAGGGAATTGAAGACTGAAAAGTCTCTCTGAAGGCGTGGATGATAATGGTGGGGTTTTTTTAACAGGAAAATTTAATATTCAGTTTTTATCCTGGTGGGAAAATGGATTATATAAACTTTCTTTTTCCATCCAGGATAAATTAAAACGTTAGACCTTCTTACCAGCATTCATATTCAAAAGATTTTTTTTTAAAAAATTGGGTGTGTGACATTTTTCATTTATTTGTGACATACAAAAGACCTGATAGGATTGGTTTAAAAATGGCTTGTTTTACTTCTTAAGTTAAGTATCAGTAATGTCAGCTTTGGTCATCTTTGTTTTTTGCTAAGTGATCTCCTGGATATCTGAGGAGACATATTGTTAGCTCACTGCTTCATTGAAAGAGCAGAGGTGTTGAATCTTTTAAAAAAGATGTCCTTTCCCCAAAATGTTCATTAGTCATTGAAATTAAACATGTTAATAAAAATAAACAGAAACTACTGTTAAAAGTTTGATTAAAAGTCTCTTCTCTGTTGTTAAGCTTTCACCCTCTTGACATATCCATTCAGTGGATCTCCAGTCATAATTCTCCAGAGCAGACAATACCTGAATTTCTAATATAACACAGCAAGCAGGATTAAAAATAAAGTAAAATTCAGGCCTTCTTTATACATTCTAGGGGCTTGTCTATACTTACCAGGGGTTTGAAGCGTCGATGCATCGGCGGTCGATTTAGCGCCTCTAGACACGCTAAATGGACCGCCAATCGCTCTCCCATTGACTCCTGTACTCCACCTGAACGAGAAGCACAAGGGGAGTCAACAGGAGAGCATCTCCAGTCGACATCGCATAGTGTGGACCCCACGGTAAATAGATCTAAGTACGTCGACTTCAGCTACGCTATTCACATAGCTGAAGTTGCGTAACTTAGATTGATCTCCCCCTGTAGTGTAGACAAGCCCTAAAGAACAACGCACAAACCCATTTTTCCCCCTTTGCAATATGTTATAATATAAAGAATAACAGTAACTGTACATGTTATGTTATTCTATACAAACAACACAATCCCTTCTTTGGGAGTTTACAATCTTAAGGCCAAGATTTTCAAAGGTGATTAGTGATTTTGGATGGCTCAGTATTTGGGAGCCCAAACTAAAACACCTTATGAGCTTGATTTTCTGAAAGTGCTGTGTGTGCATCCTTTGATAATCAGGCCCCTTAAAGTGTCTCAGGCTTGGTATTCAAAGTCACTATTTTTGTAAATCTTGGCTTAAATAGATTATTGGACAATAAAGTGGACAGAATTCTCATGCGGATCTTCTTTTAATGTTTTCATCACTTTGACTCATTTGATGGAGGAGCGCTGTGATATAATAGTCTGTTTATTTCTGTGTTTAAAATATTTTTAGGTTGCCACACTTAAGCAAATGGAAAGTTATTCTTTGTGTTACTGTGCTTCTTAACTTACAATTGTCTGGGGTTGTTTTTCTTTTCCAGAATGAACAAAGTGATGGGGAAGATGATGGCGAAACTAGAGGCCATCACATGACAGACTCTGAAAATGAAGACACCCCAAGGCAAAAAGATAGTGATTCTGAAAATGAGGACCCTCCAAATCACAATGCCAGTGATTCAGAAAATGAAGGGGCTCATGGGGACAAAGACAGTGATTCTGATATTGAGGACCATCCAATTCATCATATAAGTGACTCTGAAAATGAGGATGCCTTAAATCACCATGCAAGTGACTCTGAAAATGAAGAACCTCAAAAAATTCACAATAGCGATTCTGAAAATGAGGATCCCCATAAGAATCTGAATAGTGAGTCAGAAAATGAGGATCATCAAAAAGGTCATGCTAGTGACTCTGAAAATGAGGAACCCCCAAAACATACAGCTAGTGACTCTGAAAATGAGGAGCCCTTGAAACATACAGCTAGTGACTCTGAAAATGAGGAGCTCTCGAAACATGCAGCCAGCGATTCTGAAAATGAGGAGCCCCCGAAACATGCAGCCAGCGATTCTGAAAATGAGGAGCCCCCGACACATGCAGCCAGCGATTCCGAAAATGAGGAGCCCCCGACACATGCAGCCAGCGATTCCGAAAATGAGGAGCCCCCGACACATGCAGCCAGCGATTCCGAAAATGAGGAGCCCCCGACACATGCAGCCAGCGATTCCGAAAATGAGGAGCCCCCGACACATGCAGCCAGTGACTCTGAAAATGAGGAGCCCCAAAAAGTTCATGCTAGTGACTCTGAGAACGAAGAGCCTCAGAAACATCCTGCAAGTGACTCTGAGATTGAAGATGTTCCCAGACGCAAACAAAAAATAGAGTCTGATGACAGTGACGGGAATGGGAAAGAGGCAATGCAGAATGACTCTCGGCGTTCAGATAGCGAGCAGGCAGGAGAAGGATTTCATGCATCTGACAGTGAGGGGGAAGGTCCTAAGAGACGGAAAATAACAGACAGCGATGGAGATGAGGAGAGAGATGAGGACAAGGGAGTCAAGAGGAAAGCAGCAGTCTTTTCTGACAGCGAGGATGAGGAGAAAACACGTAAGGAAATACTAACTTACTTCCATCAGAACTATATGAGCAACAGTTGGGTAATGGATAACTAGCTCTTTCTCCAAGGGTCAAATTTTGGTTTAAATAATAATTTAAACTCATAAGTTGTGGCTACATATCTTGGAGAGGGAAGGTATACACTAAATGCTTCCAAACCGTTTGCTGGAAAAGTTCATTCTAGCGTATTTTCTTTTCCCACCTCTTTATTAACTATATTGCTTGAGATCCCCAGATAAAATAGATGTTCAGCCTATATTGTTAGGTGTGAACTTACTCAGAAGTCTTTTGAATATTTATTTTCAGTGTCCATTTTTCACATAGGAATTCAATGTAGCTGTCAAGGTTCCTCCCCCACTCTGAACTCTAGGGTACAGATGTGGGGACCTGCATGAAAAACCTCCTAAGCTTATCTTTACCAGCTTAGGTCAAAACTTCCCCAAGGTACAAAATATTCCACCCGTTGTCCTTGGACTGGCCGCTACCACCACCAAACTAATACTGGTTACTGGGGAAGAGCTGTTTGGACGCGTCCTTCCCCCCAAAATACTTCCCAAAACCTTGCACCCCACTTCCTGGACAAGGTTTGGTAAAAAGCCTCACCAGTTTGCCTAGGTGACTACAGACCCAGACCCTTGGATCTTAAGAACAATGAACAATCCTCCCAACACTTGCACCCCCCCTTTCCTGGGAAATGTTGGATAAAAAGCCTCACCAATTTGCATAGGTGACCACAGACCCAAACCCTTGGATCTGAGAACAATGAAAAAGCATTCAGTTTCTTACAAGAAGACTTTTAATAAAAATAGAAGTAAATAGAAATGAAGAAATCCCCCCCGTAAAATCAGGATGGTAGATATCCTACAGGGTAATTAGATTCAAAAACATAGAGATCCCCTCTAGGCAAAACCTTAAGTTACAAAAAAGATACACAGACAGAAATAGTTATTCTATTCAGCACAATTCTTTTGTCAGCCATTTAAAGAAATCATAATCTAACACATACCTAGCTAGATTACTTACTAAAAGTTCTAAGACTCCATTCCTGGTCTATCCCCGACAAAGACAGACTATAGACAGACACACAGACCCTTTGTTTCTCTCCCTCCTCCCAGCTTTTGAAAGTATCTTGTCTCCTCATTGGTCATTTTGGTCAGGTGCCAGCGAGGTTACCTTTAGCTTCTTAACCCTTTACAGGTGAGAGGAGCTTTCCCCTGGCCAGGAGGGATTTCAAAGGGGTTTACCCTTCCCTTTATATTTATGACAGTAGCTAACTGCCTGGGGTTGACAGCGCCCTGTCTTCAGATTGATCTCTCTGGAAACCCTGTTCTATGTAGGAGCAGTTGCTGGGGGCAGCAACTCCTTTTCTTGATGTATGTAGCCTGCTAATCTATGAACCACTAAACAATATGCCAGTTGATATTTTTTTCATACACTTTCTTCAAGAATGATTCTACCCTGAAAAGTGGCTTTGTAAAAACAGCACCTTCTTACAGAATTTTTATTGTTGGTGTTACATGAGCAAGAGAGAATCTAACTTCTAGACTCCAAACTGAGTGTTCAAGACTTGCAGAAAGAAAATTTTTTCCTTGAAAATTAAGTAGCTTTCACATAGGATTAAATGAGAGATAATAAATATGAAACTCCACCAAGCAGTTTTTAGATAACTGTACTCAAAAGGAACATTTGCTAAAAATTGTACTGTTCTCTTAATTTTTATTTCTAATTTACAAGTAACACAGCTTTACTGGAACTATAAGAGATTAGAGAAAAGTTTTTTGGGTTTTTTTGCAATGTGTTCACTCCATGCATTTGACAGCACTTTGAATAAAGTCACTTTCACTGTTATCCTTGTATAGACAGTTTCCTCCTCTCTGTGTGGGTTTTTCACACAATGGGAGAGAGAAAAACAAAATTTTGAAAAATAGGAAAATGATGGTAAAACTACAAAAATTGTCAGGAGGGCTCTAGGTTAAGTGTAGCATCTAAAATCACTTTATTTATTGAATTTGCTAGATTTGAAGATGACAACCTCCCTTTAGAGAAGACATGCAGGAGTATATAAATACTTTTTAGTGAAGCTTATGTTTTAAAAATTAGTATCAGTGATGACATGGCTAGGAATGCCACCAAAAAAAAGAGTGCTGTCAAAGAAGAATTGGGAAGTTTCCATTTCTCTCCCTTGTCTAGTAGTTTTTCTTGCCACAAGGTAGCTAGCTGGGAGGACCACTTGTCTTTGAGCCAACTTAGTCACTATGTGTCCTGTAATATGTTCCTGTGTGTTAGAAGCTGCAAAGAAAGGACGCATCATCTCAGATGTGGAAGACTCTGATAGCGATGCATCAGAGAAATCTGATAAAAGAAAAAAGAATGCTGTAGCATCAGATAGTGAAGAAGAGGAGGAGAGCAAGGACAGCGCTGGAAAGAAAAAAGAAGAGAAGGATCTTTTTGGGAGTGATAGTGAATCAGGAAATGAACAAGAGTAAGTAAGTTTCTTTCTAAATGTGAATTCCTATAGGGCAGAGGTGGGCAAACTACGGCCCGCAGGACCGTCCTGCCCGGCCCCTAAGCTCCTGGCCCAGGAGGCTAGCCCCCGGCCCCTCCCCTATTGTCCCCCCTCAGCCTCACCTCGCCTGCCGCCGGCACAATGCTCTGGGCGGTGGGGCTGCAGAGCCCGGCCTGACCCGGTGCTCTGTGCTGCACGGCGCAGCTGCCTGTCCTGGTGCAGTGGCGCTGCCAGCCACCGGTGCTCCAGGCAGCGCGGTAAGGGGGCAGGGGAGTTTGGGGCGTGGTCAGGGGCGTGGATAGGGGTTGGGGCAGTCAGAGGGTGGGGGTTGAATGGGGGCAGGGGCCCCGGGGGGGGCAGTCAGGAAGGAGAGGGGGGGTTGGATTGTGTGTTGGGGGGCAGTTAGGGGCGGGAGGTCCGGGGGCGGTCAGGGGACCGACAGCAGGGGGGGTGGATAGGGCAGGGGTCCCCGGGGGGCTGTCAGGGAACGGGGGGGTTGGATGGAGCAGGAGTCCCAGGGGGCCATCAGGGGGCGAGAAGTGGGGGGGGTCGGATAGGGGGCTGGGCCATGCTTGGCTGTTTGGGGGAGGCACAGCCTCCCCTAACTGGCCCTCCATACAATTTTGGAAACCTGAGGCGGCCCTCAGGCCAAAAAGTTTGCCTGCCCCTGTTATAGGTTAATGAACAGTGGGGTTTGCCTCAAATAAAAAGGGATGAGTCCCAATAACAGTATGAATGTCCACAGGAAGATCACGTTAGGTTTTTTTATAGGTTTCTGATATTCCGACAATTACATTAGTAATTGCCCAGCAAGCTTTGTTCTAGTCATTGTCATATTATTCTTGGGTTATCTGTTAGAAATGGAGAATATAAGCATATTACTATTACTTTTGCAGGAACCTGATTGCAGATATATTTGGTGAATCTGGTGATGAAGAGGAGGAGGAATTTACAGTAAGTATGTAAACCCCTGGACAATGGATCTGGTTCAGTTTTATTATTATTAATTTATATTTTAGGAGCCTAGGAACCCCAGTCATGGACCAGGACCCCATTGTGCTAGGTGCTGTATAAATAGAACAAAAAGACAGTCCTTGCCTGAAGCAGTTTACAATCTTAAGTATAAGCCAGGTCATCAGGTGGATACAGATAGACCAATGGGGGAGCACAAGGAAACAATGAGACAGCATTGGCCAGCATTATAGCTACCCATTGTTTTAGAAGCTTGTCTGTATGTTGTGTTAATCCAGAGCAGTTATTCCACTTTAAATTCACACTTTACCTTATTCCAGAATAACTTTCATGTGTAGACAAGCCCTGAGTCTGTCTCAGATTCATTGAGGCAGTTCATGAATTAGGTGGTCTTGTCAGCCCTTGCTGTTTGGAGAGTACTGTCTGTGTAAGAATCCTTGTTGTAGATGAGAAAAGCGTTGGCCTGGGTTTAGAGACTAGCATGAAGAAGAGAACAGTAAAAAGAGAGTGCATGTATTGTGTAAATTGAGAAGATGTGAGTAAATATACAAAAATAACTCCCCACATTGACTTGCACTGACTTTACCACCAGGGTTTTAACCAGGAGGATTTGGAAGAAGAGAAAGCCGAGGCAGAGATGAAAGAGACAGCAGATGATTCAGACTCTGATGACAACATCAAAAGAGGGAAACAGTAAGTCCATGTGTAGACATGGCAATGGGTTAATTTTATTTTCTTTCAGACAACTATATATCCCCCTTCCCACCATCCAGCATGTGATTTCATGTGACAGGGATCCTCAGAGGCTGAATGGGCTGCCTGCTGGCTTAGAAAGGCCAGGGACCTCATTCAAGTAACATGTTTTGCCACTAGGCCACCAAATCAGCTCCTCTTTCTTTTCCTTTTCTAACCTGCTTTTGTCAGTGACTTCTGAGCCCATAGCAGACCACATGTGCTGTTCCTGAGGAGGATAGTTCCCCATCAGAAGCTGAGTGAAACTGACATCTAATCAGTTCATTCTCAGTTTTTGATGGCCCACTGGTGAAGTTCTACATGTAGGAACATTGGAGGCATAGGTGTGATATTCTACTAGTTCAGGTGATGAGGTGTTGAAGGAGATACAATCAGTATGTTTCCTCTTCCTTCCTATGCTTTTGCATATTTCTCCTCTAGTAACAGAGCACCACATCTGTGTTGCAGCTGCTTCAGCATAGAGCCTTTCCCCTACAAGTACAGCAGAGTGAAATGGATCCTTGTCAGTTTCATACTGCTGCTATGGGCAGGTGAGCAAAATGGGATTTATTTCCTGACTATAAACCAGTGCATAGGATAAGGATCGACTACACACCTCTCTCCAATGTAGCCTTTCCACAATTCACAGGAATCCAGTTCTATACCATTTACATTCTGTTCAAAAATGGCATCTTCTGTTCAAAAGTGGCCAATATAGCTGTGTAGTGTCTTGAGAAGGCTGACAAAAATTTGTGGTGAGGACTAGGTTAATATTCCTACTTTCACTTGTAATCTTAGCAGATTTGAACTCTGGACTTTGTACGTGTATGTTCTTTGGTTGTTTCAACAATCGTAAGGTTCTTACTGTAGATTTTGTCGATGTTGGATCGCTTATCACTCACAATCTTTGTTTACCCATCCTGTGAGAAACCCTGCTAAATGTAACCACACCAAACCCATAGAATACAGTACAATTTTTATAATATCTCCCTTCCTTGGGAGTTTGAGAGAGAGAAATATGCATAAGCTTAGTGGAAAACTGTATTTCAGAAGAAGAAAGCTAATACAGTTTTCACAAAGATTTCTGTGAGACCATGGAAATCACTTAGCCTCTTTCTCTGCCAGTTTTTCACACTATGTGGTATGGATATTGTCTACCTCACAAGGACATAATGAGGCTTGTTCAGTGTTTGTAGAGCACTTGGAGATCCTTGGATGGATTGCATTATAAAAGTGTGCAAAACTGTTACCTGCAGGTAGAGAAAAGAAAGGGGAAGGCTCCTAATCACACTTTTAGTAAACTCTTTTCCTGCATTTCAGTATGGACTTCATGTCGGATTTTGAGATGATGCTACAAAGAAAGAAGAGCATGAGTGGCAAGCGCAGACGAAACCGTGATGGTGGGACATTTATTAGTGATGCAGATGATGTAGTCAGTGCTATGATTGTTAAAATGAATGAAGCTGCAGAGGTGAGTTTTCTCATGTGCCAGGAATATTGGTTAAGTTCCCTTTCTGCTCACTGGGAAAGTAATTGTTTTCAGCATAATATAAGAAGCAATCTTATGTTCAGTAGTAGTACGCTGCGAACAGCTGAAAGTTTCAATATCCAAATACTTTACTATTGCATCAAAGAATCCTTTTGCTTATCTGAATTTCAAAGTTTTCTGCTGTTGAAAATTAGAATAAAACTGGTGCTTATGGTCTAACTACTAAAAATTGTTTAACTTTGTTAAGCCAGTTATGTCTAGAGTTTTATGTATTTACTTGTTTTTTTTATGTCTGCTACCTTGGATACTCAATGTATTTCTCAAGTTTCAATCGATGTTAATTTTATTATAACATTACTTGAATATATAGCACCATTTGTGTGTTTGCTCTTCTAGATAAGCTTATTGGGGTTGAAACCTTCTTTAGATTACCTACAGCATTGCTAATAACAGCACACCATGGTAGATGATGGCAACACATCAGAATTATGGGAAAGGAACAGCTGATGGCTGCATCCTTTCTCAAGGAAAGCAGATTATGCATATTTAGTGTATTTTTGTTGCCATTTTTGGCTCTGAGTATCTATGTAAGGTTGTACTCTAGGGAGGATATGTAGTGTAGAGATTGTAAAGGTAACCAAAGAAGTTTTAGGGAAGGAATTAAGTCGTTTGAAACATGAGAAGGAGGAGACTTTTCCAGGCTTACAAGATGGCGGAAAAGGCAGTGAATCACATTGAGAAAGTGAGACTGAAAGAAACAGGAGGTGCAGACGTGAGAGGGAAAAGTCCGGAAGATGAGAAATGAAATGTAGAAGAAATCTGTGTAGAGCCTTGATGGTAAGGATAAGATGCCAGTGAAGTGTCTCAAATGGAGTGATAAGGTTGGAACATTGGAAAGAAGATTTTCAATTCCAGCATGTTGGATAGTCTTGAGAGTAAGAGGTGGGAAAGGAAGTTGTTGTATTAGTCAACATGAGAGGTGACCAAGGCACAGGTCTGTTGACTGTAATGGGATTTCTTTGCATGTGTGAAGTCAGGCCCTTGGCACAAATCTTTTTAGGATCAAAGCCTTTGATAATAAGCCCTTTGGAACTGGGACCACATCTTTCTGTTGGTTTTCTGAAGTACCCAAGCATGTGTCTGGGTGGTGGTAAATTTAGTAATGTAATGTGTTGTGCTTTGCCCAAAACTTCTAGGTTAAATTAGCTCTTTACATAGAACACATGTGTGTTGTCTTATGTTTTTTGTTGCCTTTATACTTACATTTTATATAACTAATGTATTATTTGAGTAGGACGTTTTGTGTCTTTTATTAAATAGCTCTAGAGATTGGCTACCCATGTATAATGTGCAGAACTTGTTACAAAACTCTAAATTAGGTTCTGGAATTACAATGGAACTGAAGCAGAAAAAGTGATTCATTTTTCTGGGAATTTCCCCTTTCATATTTACCATCTTTTAAGGAAAACGTTGACTACCAAAGTTTGAGACTCCTTAGAGAAATCTTTCTTTAAAGCAGGTTTTACGGCCACATGAAGTCAAGAGTTGCTCCACAACTGGGGTTTGGGTACATCTCAATTAGTGAATTGTCCTCCTTCAAGGGTTAATATCGTTTCCCAGATAGCCATGTTACTGCAAGAAAAGGCAAATCATTTTGCTATGAATGTCTGAAGAGTTGGGGTTTATTGCTACTGTACTCTTCTTTTGAATGACTTACTTTGAAATTCTCTCTTCATGAACTCCCCACAGGAAGATAGACAGCTGAATACACAGAAGAAACCAGCACTAAAAAAGTTAACTTTGCTACCAACTGTAGTTATGCACCTTAAAAAGTAAGTGTTTGATTCTCCCCGTTACTTACTCTCCTGCGGAATATTGGGAAGGCTACATATATTAACTCTCTGGTGATGCTGAGTGTGTGCTAAAAAAAACAGATTCCTTTCTGTTCTAGCTACAATGTGCTGGAGTTAAGTGGCTTTTCAGAAAGATAATTTAAAAAAAAAAATCCCTTATCTTGAAATGATTTAAAATGTGTTGCCATGCTGAGGATACAATGTATAGAAACCACGTGCTGTGAAGTAATGGCTGCCTGGCTTTCCCCTATTTAATCTTTGCTGAGATGCTTGATAGCTTTGATTTCTTTCAATAGTTTGAGTAGTTTTATAGATCTCAGTTGCTGTTTGGAACAAGTATTTCCTTTAGTTCTGTAGCTTATGTCAGGGGTTCTCAACCTTTTTCTTTCTTAGGGCCCCCCAATATACTATAAAAACTCCATGGCCCACTGTGCCACAACAGCTGTTTTTCTCCATATAAAAGCCAGGGGTAGCAATTAGGGCAGTTGCCAGGGACCACATGCCACGGGACCCTGCAAAGCTTAGTTGCTCAGGCTTCAGTGTCAGCCCCAGGTGGCAGGGCTCAGGGCGGGGCTTCATCTTTCTGCCCTGGGCCCCAGCAAGTCTAATGCCAGCCTTGCTTGGCAGACCCCCTGAAACCTAGCTCGTGGCTTTCCCAGTGGGCCCTGGACCCCTGGTTGAGAACCACTGGCTTATGTCATAAGTTTTGGAGTAAGAGGAGGTTGAAGGGGTCACTTTCCCTGTATTCGGGAGCCACTATAGAGTAGTCTCTGTTGTGGAGAAACCAGGAGCAAGGCCCAAGTCTTGTAAGTGGATGTGTCTGTGCAGCAAGAGGAGTAGGTGTTTTTTAGAGCTTGAATTCAGCAGTTCTCTGAAGTAGGACATAGCTGTTCCTGAAACTCTGACCTTCCTTTATTCTAAACTTTCCAGACAGGATCTTAAGGAAACTTTCATTGACAGTGGTGTGATGTCGGCCATCAAAGAGTGGCTTTCCCCTCTTCCAGATCGGAGTCTACCAGCACTAAAGATACGTGAGGAGCTCTTGAAGATCCTGCAAGAGGTTAGAAGCTGGTGCCTAGCTGTTTGCCTTCGACTGACTTGCACCCTGCATGTTGAATCTGTTCGTTAGTGATGAGTAAGGCTACGTTTTAGTCATGGGTATTTTTAGTAAAAGTCATGGACAGGTCATGGGCAGTACAGAAAAGTTCATGGTCCGTGACCTGTCCATGACTTGTACTATATACCCCTGACTAAAACTTGGGTGTTCTGGGGCAAGGGGTGGCCCAGGACCCCCGCTGCAGTGGGGGAGGAAGGAGAGGGGGAAGGGGGCTGGCAGGCTCCCTACCCACCCCAAGCCCTCACTCCCCTCCGCGCCCCAGCCCTGAGACCCCCCCACCCAAACTACTGCTGCTGCTACAGGGGGGTGGGCGCGCAGGCGCGGTAGCCTGAGACTGCCCTAGCAGCAGTTGGTGCGGCTGGCCAGGGGGCTGCCTGAGCAGCTCAGGCAAGCTGCACCGGCTGTTGCACTTCCCTGACCTCCGTGACAGATTTGCAGCCTTACTGATGAGCCTTCATGAACTTTTAACCCAGAATATACATTTCAGGAAATGGCATGTGCAGGTAGTAGTGAGATGCAGTATGGATGCTGCTATCAACTGACCATAGTGGGAGGCCTAGGGAGGAGCAAACTCAGAAACAAATGTTGAAAACTCAGAAACAAATCTTTGCTGTAAGAGATTTTTCCTATCTCATATAAATGTTGTCTGGCTGAACAAAGCTTGGCATGAGGGCAGCTAGGAAACTTCAGTTCTTTAATCCTGATCACTGTTTTTAATTTTTCCCTTATTTACTCTATTAAACAAGTAATTATACTAATCCCTGGCCATAAAACTGAGAGAAACAACCCACAGAGAGATCTTTTTGTCATGATCAACAAACTATTGCTTCAGAGCCAGATTAATATGATCGCGGGTTCTTAACAAAAGAGTATTTTCTTTTAGGAACTTCAGACCACTTTATTTAAGAAACAAAGTTAATATTTGTAAGAAAAATTGTCAGGGTAAGTTAACATGCCAAATGTCGAGAGAAATAAGAACAACCTTTAATTGTTTAGAGGTAGACTGCAGTTCCAAGACTGCTGTTTGATTAAAAAAGGTCTCTGGAGTGCTTTTATAGCTATGATGACAATAGCAAGTTAGTAACAATATATATACTCTGCTTTCAGTTTTGTATAGCTAACTATTGGGCTTAGTTTTATTACTATCTGGCCCCAATAAGATCAGATCATTCCTGGTTTACTGAATATCTTTCTGTCCTCCAGCTGCCTAGTGTGAGCCAAGAGACCCTGAAGCACAGTGGAATTGGGCGAGCTGTGATGTACCTCTACAAGCACCCCAAGGAGTCAAGACCCAACAAGGACATGGCAGGGAAGCTAATCAGTACGTAAATCTCCCCCTACGACACCATGTCTGCTCATGGAGGTCTCATTTTAGCGTTTAACCTCTGTTTCCTCCACACACTGATTTTATCTTCTATGTAGAGCAAATTGAACTGGTGATATAAGAGAATCTATATGATTGTAGATTAATATCTATAACATTGCTTTACATGTTCAAATCTCTGACAAGACATTGTGTTACGTTTAGTCTTTGTTTTTATTATAAAACCTGAAGGACTGTAAGTTATAGTCTGTATGGAGCAGAACAGGTATACCTTATCTTTAAGGCTAAGATTTTGCCACAGCGGTCACAGAAGTCACAGAATCCATGACTCCCAAAGACCTCCATGACTTCAGCCCCGGCAGCTGGGAGCTGCATGGTCCTGCCACCTCCCACAGTGGCAAGGAGCTGTGAGGCAACCCCGCCACCTGTGGCAGCGCGCTTCTCCGCACCTCTCCGCCCAGCAGGGCTTGGGGGACCCCGCACCCCTCCGGCCAGCAGGACAGGGGGGACCCCGCAGCTCCCAGCCACCTTGCAGCTGCCAAGGCCCTTCCCATTTTATCATGGATATTTTTAGTAAGTCAGGGACAGGTCACCGTTTCTGTGCATTTTTCTTTATTGTCCAGGACCTGTCTGTGACTTTTTCACTAGAAGTATCCATGACAAAATCTTAGACTTAATTATCTGAAACCACATCTGCTATGACGCGTTGTAATTCCTTGACACTCATGACACTAAATACTTCTTCCAAAGCCCTCTAGATGGGCAAGAACTCACTTTATAATCAAATAGGTTGGGTTTCAGAAGTCACTTTGTTCTGACATATATGAGACACTAAAAGTGGTTAAAACCCTATTTGTTAAAAAGACAAGCAGGACAAACACTTGCCTTAAGGTGTTGCAAGTTGCATTTAGACCCATTGAACTTCCCTGCCGGTAAAACGTAGGTGCCCAGTGATACTGTTTCTGCATTGAAATGTTTCTTTTTACAGATGAATGGTCTCGACCCATCTTTGGCCTTACCTCAAACTACAAAGGAATGACAAGGGAGGAAAGGGAGCAGAGGGATTTGGAACAGATGCCTCAGCGAAGGCGATTGAGCAGGTAGGAGTTGTAAATATGGATGGACAAAAAGAATGTTGTGAATCTGAGACTCTGTTTAGGAAATCTGACCAATATGGTAGATCAGATAACTTGCTAGATGAAGTGTTAGGGGAAACCTGCAGGCTTCCTCTAAGCCAGGGTGGCATCCTGTGGCTCCAGAGCCACATGTGGCTCTTCAGAAGTTAATATGTGGCTCCTTGTATACGCACCGACTCCAGGGCTGGAGCTACAGGTGCCAACTTTCCAATGTGGCAGGGGGGTGCTCAGTGCTTAACCCCTTGCTCTGCCATAGGCCCTGCCCCCACTCCACCCCTTCCCATGCCCTCCCCTGAGCCTGCCATGCCCTCGCTCCTCCTCCTTCTCCCCCAGCCTCCTGCATGCCACAAAACAGCTGATCGGGAGGTGCGGGGAGGGAGGGAGAGAGAGGGAAGTGCTGATCGGTGGGGTTGATGTGGGGATGCTGACTTATTATTGTGGCTCTTTGGCAATGTACATTGGTAAATTCTGACTCCTTCTCAGGCTCAGGTTGGCCACCCCTGCTCTAAGCAATCCTTCCCCCTTAGTAGATTGCTGTTGTCTTTACCCTTGTCCAATTTAAAATGTGTTGCAAGATTTTCTACACTGGATAATGAACAGAGGTTTTCCTTTCTAAGTTTGGGGCCCTCCTGACTATTCTCTCAGCATGAAGCCCCATGTGTGACAGTAGTCAAGTTGCTGTTATTTTAATCTATCCAGAAAATCTACTCCTTTTCTCAGACAGACGTGATAATCGTTCTGTTGCTGCTATCACAACCAGGAATCCCATGCAGGTTAATTCCTGTAATGTGTTGCTATAGCACTCTTTACTTGAAATTCACCAAGTGGTTGCTCTGGTTCCTTGAGAGTAGCAGTGGTGTTGGTTATGCCTGCTCTCCATGATCTAGACTGAGTGCCAGCATGCCAAAGAGTATGGTTGAAGGACTTAGTATTGGTAAATATTGCTATTCATAATCTTGGCTCTAAGAAGTTGAGTAATTGCTTCTTGCTTTGCCATCATCTGGCAGTTGGGTCAGCCTAAGTTACAAGCCACCACTTGTTTTTGCAGACTTACTCTTGTTTATGGTTTTGGCCTCCTCCTTTGTTCTGCAAACTTTTTGTATCTGTGAAGACTTTTTTTAAATAGACTTGGTCCCTTTTTATTTGGAGTGAATTTGCCCAAGAGTTATGGGGTTTGCCTTTGTAGCACTCCTTTAGGTTGGTTTGTGTTCTGTTTGAGCTGTTGGATCTTATTTTAATTGGGGGAGGGGGGAGTTATTTTCTTGTATAGTTCATAGATACATCTCCAGAGCAACCTCAAATATTTTGAATACATGGAGGAGAGGCTGATATGATAGGTGGTCTTTGTCCTATGGAGGAAACCCTGTATTTGTCTGCAGCTGTAACATTCTGCTTTGTCTGTACAGTTCTGGCGGTCAGACCCCTCGCAGAGACCTGGAGAAGGTGTTAACAGGAGAAGAAAAGTAAGTTCTCTCTCTCTTTTTTTTTTTTTTTGGGGCAGCATCCTAGCAATGATGACAAGACTATCTGTAGACTCTTCAGTGCAGCTGTTTGTTTTGTAATGGAAATGCAGATGCTTGAAGTGGTGTTGCTTTGTGTTTTTAAAGGTGACAGAAAATACAGCTGATTGAAGACATTGTATTGATTGTATATCTCTGTGTGAGAGTGATCTGTTTAACATATATACTTTCTTTTGTTCCCGCAGAGCTCTTAGACCTGGTGATCCTGGATTTTGTGCTCGTGCAAGGGTTCCAATGCCCTCCAACAAGGATTATGTGGTCAGACCCAAGTGGAATGTAGAAATGGAATCTTCCAGGGTAAGCCACAAAGCAAAGGGAAGAAATTAGTCTCTTATGCTGATTCTGTATCTAGAAACTCTGTGGTTAAGACTGAGAATCAATTGATCCTTTAATCACTGCTATATTATTTCAGGTGCCATTGGTCCTTGTGCACCACTTTACTGTTAAACATCTATTGTAGTCTAAGGGACCATAAGTGCTGGTCATAGGTGGACTCTCTAAATCCTATTAAATGGTTCCTTATCTCATATAACATCAAATGAAAATCAATAACTGACAGAGAGGAACAAGCTATTTATATTCAGGTTAAGGCTGTGACTGCAAACCCATTGCTCCTAGACCATCTTGGAGTCAACATCTCTTACTATAACACCTCTTACCCCCTCCCAAGTTTTAGTATCTTGGCCTTCCTGTTGGTTTTCCCAGAGCTATGAGGAATCAAACACTTGGTAAGTATTAACATTCTGCCACTAAATGAGGCCCATGAATTCCACCTTGGTTCATCCATTTATCTTGTACAGGTTAATTCATAGAGATGTCAGTGTCTGCATATGGCAAATCAAATGTAAGAGGAAGGAGAGATCATTAAATTCTGCTGTCATCATTTTTCCTTCCTTTCATTAATTGAGATGTTGTTTCTAGCCTGGGACTGTTAAAAAAGGTATTAGTCGCTTGGAAAAGCACAAGAGACGATTTGCTGAACAGAAACGACTCAGCAACGTGCATCGGGCCATCAAATTCAGCATTGAAGGCAACAGGATGCCCCTATAGCCCTGACACTCTGCCTTCCCCAAGTTTTAGAGGTATCTTTTAAGGGAGGTATGAACAGTGCATGTGCTCCAGTTGGCAGTCTGCACATCCAATGGAAGTAGTGTGAATTCACTAACCTGCACATAGGAAGCTTGTCTCTTTTAATCTCTGTAATGTCTGAACTGTGACCTACAATTGTGCAAATTGATGCAGAAAATAATCTGATGTAGCATATAACTTCTGCCATGATCCTGCCATTACAATTTCCACATGCCCTGATGGCAGGTATTATTTAAAATACCTGCCTACAAAAATACCTTTGGTAGGCATCTAAATAAAAAGGAACCAACCTTTGAGTAATCTGAGATGAGCAGGTGTGGCATTGTAAAACATGTTCATGTTTTAATTAGAGCCTCCAATTTAATTTAAACAGATAGTTACTGAGGAAATGACACAGAACTAGCGTTTTTAGCCCTTACTTTAGTACCTCATTGCTACTCCATAATAACCTCTGTGGCTGAGTTTTTAGTAGTGTGAACAAGATCCAAAAGAAGAAACCCTTCAACCCTTTTTGGCCTCCCAAGTTATTTGTGTTGCAAGGCCTTAAGGAGTAAGTGACAGTATAAGGCAAAAAAATCTTCTGAGGACTGGGCGAAGACTGATCCTCTGCTGAGAATCTGTGGTGGAGAGAGAACAACCAGTAAATATTAACCAGAATTTCTTTTGACAACTTAGTTTCTATATTCCAGTTCTTTGAGCAGGAATGGCAGAAATTGGTGGCTAGAAAAGATCGTGCAAATAATGCTGGAATAGCCCTGCCATTCTTGAGCTTCCGATTTCACTTTTTAAAAAATTATTGTAGAAAATAAATGAAAAAGCAGAGAAGCCCTGCATGTAATTCCAGTCGGGAATCAGTTTTCTCTCTGTATTGTGGATAGAATGTCTGTCTGGATCCAGGAGTTGGAGAGCTGCTACCCTACTAATAGTCCGAACCTGATTATGGACTGAATAGCATTTGGATTCCCAGCGAGTAAAAGCTGAGCTTCTGAAGAGATGTTTCTATCAGATCTCCCAAACCCTTTTCTTTTCCTGAGTCTCCATAATTTTTTATTACTGCACGTTGTGTTGTAATACATTCTGAATACTCATCCCTTCCAGGAAATCTTGCTTATTGACTGGAAGGGCCTTGCTGTTGTACAGAGCCTTTATAGTCTGTTTGTGCAAAATAACTTACCTGCTGCTGCATCTCAGCCTTACGGTTGCAAATAGTCAAAATAGAGAAATGAAATGCAAGCACACTTGTAATAGTAATACTTTGTGGTCAGTTTTTCTCAGGCATTTTTTCTCCTTTTCAGTTACATTTCCCAGTATTCTCCAGTCTTGTTGGTGCCTATTACAGTGATCTGTAGAATCACCAATTATCACCAAGTGTGGTCATGTCCTCACATCAGCCACCACCAGGAAACCTGCAGTTTATGAAGCTGTGATGAAATGTACTTCTGGCACTAGATCAGCTTTTCTCAAATGCGGTCACCAGGGGCTTTTCTTGCGGCCACAGTCTCCTGGGTGGTGGGTGATGGGGGGCAAAGCAGCAGCCTCTCCCCCAGGGTCGCCAGCAGGGATTGGTCCCTGCCCCCTTCTGGAGCCAGGTGACCAGTGTGAGTTTCCCCACCTTCCTGGGGGTGGTGGGGCTTGGGCTTCAGCCCTGGGGTGGTGGGTGGGCAGCAGGTTCTGTCTCCCAGCCACAGGGCTTTGGGCTCTGGCCCCAGGCTCACCCTGACGTTGCCCCAAGTTCCCGCTGCCTCCTCCAGCCCCCACTCGTGCAGCGGGGCTCCAGACCTGGACTCACCTCCCCATTGCCCTGACCCCCACTGCCTCCTCCACCCCCAATCCAGGCCCACCTGCCTCCTTACCTACCTCCCCATCCAGGATTTAATTTGTCCCCCAGCTTGCTGGGGATGAGTAAGTCTGCTGTGAAAAGTGATATTAACAAATACACAGATATCACTTTTCACAAAGGCAGACTTACTAGCTAGAAAGTCTTAAAACAAACAAAAAAAGCAAAACAGGCAAAGCACCTTATTTGTGTTTCTATTCTGTTTAGGTCCAGTAAGGAATAGAAACCCTACATAAATAGATTACAATGATTTGGACATATATATGTGCATATTTATTTGTTTTTCCTAAAGTTAATAAAGTATTTTAGGAAAAATTGTCAGAGCGGCCACCAGCAAGAGTTGGTGGCCACACTCTGAGGCCACCTAAGATTTTGTTGTGAGAACCTCTGCACTAGATTGTTTAATGCAGTTTTTAAGAACTATTCTAAATTGTGCATTTAGCTAGCATGTGGACAATGAAGTGGCCACTTTACTTTCCTTATTCTGAAAGCTTTTATTGTGTGCTGTGTGTGTTTGCAGTGCATATACTTGTGGGATTCCTCTGTCCCAAAAAAACCTTTTGGAATTTTTCTGGAACTTTATCAGACCCCTCATTACAGGGCAACAGGTGCTGGAAGACTTAAGAATGCATGCTTCATCTTTCTTGAAGCTCTGGGTTTTCTTGTTTTTTTAAGTGGTAACTAAGTTTTTTAATTATTTTTTTAGTACCAAGGCACCTCTAAGAAAGGGGTAAGTCGACTGGACAAACAGATGCGGAAGTTCACAGATATCAGGAAAAAAAGCAGATCAGCCCACGCAGTGAAAATCAGTATTGAAGGCAATAAGATGCCATTGTGACCCTTCACAGAATACTCTGATCTCTGCTGAGAGATCTGCACCCACAGACTCTTTGGAGACCTTGAAATTTTTTAACAAATTGTTTTTTTAGTGTATCTTTAAATTGTTTGTTCAGCTTCTGATATAAAATGTTGTCTGAGGATTGTGAATCCTGGAACTTTTTCCTCCTGACTGTATTTAAATTTGTTCTGTTGTGTCCTTTGTACAGATCAAATACTTGTGTACTGCTGCCCACTTTAGACAATAAAATATCCGTCTGTTTTTTGGGGGGTGTCTGTTGATTGGTCAAAGGGGTGGGGTGAGGGGACATCCAGGCCAAGGCAGTAAATACCTAGGAACAAGCATTCACTTAGTAATTGTGAATTCTGTTCATACCATCTTGCTCTTCCATTTTTTCCTTTAGTTTAGTTTAATTACCTACTCTGCCTTTGGAGAGCTGTAGCTGTCTCCCCCTAGTAATTTTTCATCACATGGTTTAGACCCCAAGAAGATGAGACTTGTGTGCAGGTCTAAAAATTTGGGGCTTTGTAGAGCTGAAACTGCCAGTGACTAAAATGATTGGTTGACCTAAGATTGCACAGCATTTAAAAATCGCTAGTCATCACTGATAAAAGATGAAGGCAAAATCTTTAAGGGTGAATGATACAGAGCAAATGGCTGCAGTTGATGAGCAGTGAAGTACGATGTCATCTTAACGAAAGAAAATTGGCCTTAGTTCGGTTACTTTTGTGGTCTTAAAACCTGAGGTATAAGGGTGAATCTTTAGGAGAGCAAGTGTGCTCAATATTTTCTTTACTAAATGGCCCATAAAACCCTTAGATGATCATGCTGCTATTTCTTCTTTGCTGCAAAAAAACTAGAGTGGACTTGTGTACCTCAATCTCTGAAGCTGTTCTTGGTGTCTGCAGAACTGGGGCTGAGAGAGAGAGAGGGTTCTGGTCCCTGCAGGAGGTTTGGAGTTCAGTGAGAAAACAATGATCTTTCCAAGTAAGCACATAAAAATCTCTGTGCAATCAGAGTGGATACACAGTGAGTTTCCTGAGGCAGGAGTTTGGTTGCCTTTTGTATGGAGAAAACACTTAGCATGCTGTGGCTTCTGTTGGAAAAAATGAGATCCTGGCCACTGGATGCTTTCTCTTCAAGTTTGTTCCCTCTGAAACTGAGCTTGGCCCATGGGCATAAAAAATAAAGGAAGGCCTGATGTGAGAAGTAGCAGGTACCTGACAATGTCACAGAGAAGCAAACCCATGGACTCTGATCTAGAGCCTATTATTTGAATTTGAGTTGTAGACTGTTGCATTGACTTGCATGGCTTTCTGTACAGTCTGTTCAACTACATCCTTCTTATGGGATGCTGAAAATAGATTTAGTTTAAAAATTCCTTGGAAAAGGTGCAGCCAAATTCCATTTCTGCTACATAAGTGTATGCAACTCTATGGAAACCTATGAAGTTGCACAGTTTGTGTCAGGGCTAAATTTGGCCCTTATGTGTTGGAACTTCCTTTTTCAACTGCTGGGATTTTTCCTGTGTCATTGATGCATGAGTTTTTTGCCAGTACTTTAGGGGTATTTGCTTCATGGTTGAATGAAGCAGTCTGCTACTACCCACATAGGGGAGGGTTGAAATTTAAAATTGCAGATTGTACGTACTTCCACTTAACTGCCCCAAGAGTTGATTGCCTTTCCTGCAATGAACAGACTTTCGTGGGTATTAAATAATCTTTAAAGTTGCATTTGATTCTCCCCCGAGCAAGTGACAATTAGAGGTTGAATGCTTTGAGGAGTGTGGGCAAAGGGACACAGATTTCTATTAATTTGTACTCCTATTTTTGTAACTCTGAAAATTGAATAGTAAATTTGAATGTTTGGTCTCATAAGGCCTTAAAAAAAATTAAAGGAGGAAGGAATTCTTCTCCATCACTTTCAAATACTGCACAAGGGTGCTGTTTGATGATATTTGAACCCAAGGACACAGGAGTGTGAAGTTCTTTAACATACTGTGGTAACATTCCTGCTGGGTGAGAGGAGATTTCAGAATTAACAATCTTCTTCTAAAGTAATGTTTTGTTTCACCTGTATTTTTATGTGAAACGCTGTGACAATTTTTTAAAAGAAACCCTGAAAGCTAAACTCCTGCCGAGGGAGGGCTGACTTGGTCCTCTTCCCCCTGCCCCCTTTGGCTTTTAGACTGTTAGAAAAGTTGTTTCTCATAGCATTACTGGGTTTTCCAAGGTTGTTCACCACTATTTCATGTCTGACAGCAAAATCAATTGTGTACAGCACGTACATTTTCACAATAAAAGAGCTCATCTGGTTTTTTTACCCCATCTCCTGCTCCCACGAGTCTATCAGACTCACTCAGAAAACCACTAATCTTGCATCAGCTGCTGCAAACAACCATCTAACTTGAATGTTACACCCTATAGAATCATAGAATGATCCATTGTCTAGGGGTGGAGTGCCTTTCGCTATGGTGCTAGTGACACTTTTTTCCCTTTCTTACATCGTTTTTGCTAGAATGTGTAAAAGGGAAATACCAACAGTAAAAGCTGGCTCCACGATATGTTCTGTTTTTGATCCATTGTAGGTAACTGCTGCTGGACAGTAGTTTAGAGTCTAATGTGCTTAAATGCCTTGCAAGAAATATCAAAGGACATCACATGAGCAGTAAGATGATTAAACCTGCTTTACTGCATGTTGTTAGTTTGAATAATTGCTACTACTGGGAATTCTAAGTTTTCCACTACCGTAGTTACTATATTCTGTTTGTTCCTCTCCCTTCTTACTGGGTTAAACGTCCAGGCCTTTGCTACATAAAAAGTTTCAACTCCCTTTAGAATAAAACGGCAATTTAAAGTTTTTCACCTTATTTTCCTGATTACCATAAAGCTAACATGATATTAATATGGTTCCTTCACTCAAACTCCACCTCTGTCTTATCATTAGACAACTTGATGAATTCTGAAGCCTCCACATTGCAGATAACAATCATACTGTAAAGTGATTAACTCACCTACACCACTGTCAACATAGTGAACTGTCCTGAGTCTTTTAACAGTTAATGTACTTTGAGTGGAATAGCTGGAGAACAAAGTTATTTCCTTCCATGGCAAAATAAAGACAACACAATCCCTAAAGCTGTTAAACACTCCACTTTCAACATTTCTAGGGCAGTGGTTTGTATTACAAAAGTCTCAGGAGCAGCAAATACTGTATTACATTTATTAGGAGAACAAGGAATACTGAATAGACTATATTTAGCTTCATATTGAATAAACTACATTTTTTAAGTTAAAGCTATTGTAAAATTTCCAGTTTTATTACTGGTAGCATTTCTGATGTTTTAGAAATGGTCCTCATTAGAATGAAGGTAAAAATCCTCCTGCATCAGCTAGATTTTCAACCAACTCCTTTATCCATGGTACATAGTTGGCTACCCGCGTATATGCACCATATTTCCTTTCTTCAGCACAGCCCTCACCCCAACTGACTATCCCTAGCAGGTACCAAGTGTTGTGGTAAGAGACAGCAAAGGGGCCTCCACTGTCTCCTTTACAGGCATCCTGGGCTTTGGCAGCATAGCCTGCACAGAACATGTTATCTGTAATGAGCTTCGCTGTTGACTGTCTACACGTTTCCATGCTTACTATGGGCAGCTTGACTTTCATGAGGAAGCGTGTTCCAGGACCCCTGTGATGTGTGGAACCCCATCCACTCACCATCCCCCTAGTCCCTTCCACAGTCAGCAGGGTTGCCAGGTTAGGATTGGGAAGGCAAATGGGGAGTACATACTCATTAAATACAACATCGCTGCTCAAGTAGAGCAAAGCAATGTCACCATTATAGTTATCTGAGTCATAGTGTGGATGTATCCAGCTCTGTTGCACTTCGATCTTTTGTTCTTTCACTTCTCTCTGGTGTTTGTCAAAGTCTCCTGCAATTGAAAACAAAGATGTTAAAGAATTCTAAATCCCTTGTGTAAGAGTTTCATGGGGGGAGCAGCTATGGTAGTAGATTAATGCTTTAGCCTCCCAAATTAAATCAAAATAGGTTACAACACCCATGAACCTAAATATGGAGGTTACAGTCTAAAGCCAGCATTGCTACTACTTTATAATTTGGCATGACAAGATCTATGACCCGCAGAGGGTCAGGGGCACTATCTGAAATTGTTTAGTGTGAGAGTTTATTGGGTCTGTACTACCATGCTTATGAAGAATTTAGATGCATTTTAAAACACCCACCATAATTTAACAACAGGCTCAAAGCTGGTTGGAACTAGAACTAGCTGGTTTATTAGAATGAACACTGGACCTTTTGTTAATTTGCATGGAGACACAAGCCTGCTCAAAGTAGATAATGAAAGTCACTTGTCCTTTGAAATTTCACATCTTATTTTATGTCTAGTTGTGTATAGATAGATAAAGAGAAGAGGATACTGATTAAAGTTTTCAGTGCTGCAGGTATTCACAGTAACCAGTTTCCTCTCCAAGAAAACATTATTCCAATTCAAGAGGAAAGAAAAACTCACTAGCCTTAGTATGGTGGCTTGACTCTTCAGAGGGATACAGGGCTCTTCTAATTAGGAATTTTCATGACTCCTAATACAACCAGTAGTGGATTTATCCATATAACATGCTGTAAGGGAGGGAAGTACTATCCTCATTTTATATAGGAAGAATTGAGGCACAGCATAGATTAAGTCAGGGGTTCTCAAACTTCATTGCACTGTGACCCCCAACAAAAATTACTACACGACCCCAGGACGGGGGACTGAAGCCTGAGCCCACTCTGCCCTGGGTGGGGGGAGGGGAGGTGCAAAGCCAAAGCCCAAGGGCTCCAGCCCCAGGCAGGGGGCCTGTAACCTGAGCCCCACCACCTAGGGCTGAAACCCTTTGGCTTTGGCCCCAGGCCCCAGCAAGTCTAAGCCAGCCCTGGCAACTCAATTAAAACAGGGCCACGACCCACTCTGGGGTCCCGACCCACAGTTTGAGAACCACTGGATTAAGTGACTTGCCCAAGAAGTCTTTGGCAAAGCTGGGAATTAAACCCAAGTCTCACCTGTCCCAGTCCAGTGCCTCACCTACAGAACCACTTTCTTCCTCATCATCCAGTTCACCCATTCCTGCTGAAGGGAATCAGAATCCTGCATACAGTTGCTAAGTAAGTTCTGCTGATTTGGTGAGGCAGATGTGACTTGTTACTTCCACCATGATAGAACATAAGAGAAACTAGGATGTTCTGCTCAGAGGGAACTAGGTGCACACACTAGAAGGTCCTGCAGGAAACCCTACGAACAGCCAAACTTGGGCTGAGATTTGTTTTATCAGTGACTCTGGTAACCACAGGCTTGCCCTGTCAGCTAACTGCGGAAACCTGAAGCTGAAAGTAACTCAGTTCCTGCTAGCCGGTTCTATTACCATGGTCACAGCAGAGCCTGCGTTTGCAGGGCTGGGAGTTGGAAAAAAAAAATCTTTCTATTTATAAACTGAGCAGTGAGAGTCAAGGAACTGGAACACCCCCGATGCCTTTCTAGTCACTTTTCAGAGCAGACTCATGCTTTCATAGCGCCTCCGGGAGCGTGGAGACTTTTCCAGTTCACTCACCTATCGTAACATGATGTGGTTTAACAATCTCAAGGCAGTGGGCAGCAGTGACGACCCAGCGGCTGCTGATTAAACTCCCTCCACAGAAACCATAACCCCTGCTATTTCGGACAAATACCTACAGTGAAAAAACAAGAGCAAGAGCACATTCAACAGGACTTATTTCAATGTACTGTAGTAGTTCCCTAGAAACTACTACTAACTTTATGATGCAGAGGATGAAAATGATTAGGGCTAAATCCCAAATACTACACGGGTGTTCGGAATTAATCAGTGTGATGTCACTAGGGATGATGTGTCTAAGGAGTGTAATTATGGAAAGTGATAAGATTGTAAGAACAGAGCAGAATAATCAACAGACCAGGATAGAAATTCAAGCAGAAGGCGATAACCAAAGTGGAAATGTCAGTCTTGGAAAACAAATCTGATGTGAGCTCCAGCACTGGCTGCAAAGCTTTGGAAGATGCTAGAACAAAAGAAAGCAAGGTCAGTGCCAAAAGACTATAATATCCAAACAGTGCCAAGTTTAAAAAATGCTGAATATGAAGCTGCACAAGAAGAGCAAAAGTTACAGGCCAAGACAAGAAACAGAAGTATTAGAAATAATGAAGAGGAACTGATCCTGAGCACCCGCAATTTTAGGTCAGTGGGAATTGGAGCCACCGAGCCAGCATCTCTCAGGTCTCCAGATTTATAAAGTTGTGCAAAACCACACACAAAAAAAGGGCAAGGAAAAATGATATTGGACTTCAGGATGAGCTATAAAGGGTAAAAGTGGGAGGGGCAAGGGGGCGGATATCTCCCCAGGTCCCTCTTTTTAATATTAGATGTTCAGGTGTTGTCTACCCTGAATGGAGTGCTGGCTTTGCTAAAGACTCAACACCATAAACCCTTTAAGCTGAGAAAGATCAAAACACACATTCCCTGAAATTGTTAATAAGGCCTTCACCAAAGCTAAAGGAAACCAGATTTGATATTCCTCATATTTTTAAAGTTAAAATTAAAGAGGTGATGGGGAAGAAATGACTTTTTGGTGGGAAAAACAACAAACTTTCATGCCCTTTTTAAATACAGTATTGTAAAGAAATAAAAAAGGGAACAAGCTATAAAATAAAGCGGTACTACACATTAAAGGCATAGCTATATGTGAACAAGATTAAAGATTAGCATTAAACCTAAATGTTTGGTATTTCATGACTTTTGTGAGCTTGATGCTTATAAATTTTGGCCCTGATTCTGAACTCTTTTACAGTGCTTTGGAACAGAAGTAATGTCACACAAGTCACTGGAGTTACATCTTACATCTGTGTAAAAGAGCCGAGACTCAGGCCCGGTTATTGTACTGTTAAAATATAAAGTAAAATGTAAACACAAAAGTGGCAAAGGACAATGAAGCAAGGGATAGCACTACCTTGGATTCTGTATTAGACCTAGGAGGGAAATTATTCACAAAAGGGTCAAAAGAAAGCAAAGGTACAATATTGTAAAGATAGACCACTACAACAATGGTGTGCATTCAGAAAAAGGAAAATACGCTGCAGCTCACTAAATATAGAGCATCAATTGAGTGTTAATAGCAGAAAAAAATCTTTAGCCATCAACTAATGAAGGGAGTACAGCCTTTCTGGACTTCCCACATTGATTTAGATGCAACTTTTCATTCATGGATCAATGAGCCATCATATATTACTTTATTTTGCTGGAAGAGAGTTAGGCAACCTTAAGCCCATGAGAGAGTCTGAAGTCAATTTTCATTGGATTTAATGGGAGCTGGAGGAAGCCCTTAGATGAGAGTAGAAGGAAGTATGTTAAATCACATGTACCTAACTAATCAAGAGGTACTTCAGCTTGATAAAGTGGGTGAAGAGATCAGGTTGGCAGTAGAGAGGTCGACAAGGAAATACTAAATGAAACGTTTCATCTATTTGTAACGTACCGCCAGACACCTTCAAAGGGAAACCCTCTTGACTAATCTATTGCTCTGAAAATAATAAGGGATCCAGAAGAACTTCAGGTGACATTGTCATCTTGCCAAAAACACCTGAAAGTTCTAGAAGCAGTGAACACTGCTGGGTAAAATAAGAAATACAGATGAAGAACAAATATGGAGAAGGCCAAACTCATTTTAATTACAAATATGGCCAAAATCACAATGGATAGGAAAGGCTTGGGAGTCTTGCTCCCTGGGCTAACTGCCACATGCTGTTATAAGATAGGAAAATGAAATAAAGAGAAGCATCATGAGTGAATATAAAGGTCTGTGAAAAACTCAGTATCTAAAAAGTAAGTGCCTTTTCTGCTGAGAGATGATGATCCTATTAGATGATCCTATAGAGATGATCCTATTAGGCAGGATGCATGGAGCAGAAACACAGCCACATACCAAGCAGATGATGTAGAAGTTAAAATCTGAACATTGATTCATGAGAATATTTGCCCCTGACCATTGGGTAAGTAAGTAAACAAAGGTGAAGGACATGTTGGAGACTGAAGACGATTGGTTGGCTGTACTGCAAGAAGAGGAGCTATAAGATAGACTATATTTAGGATCCCATGTACACTAATGAATGAGGTAACTACAGTGTGGGCCACCAGAAAAGAAGCTGCGGAGATACACTGAGGATCTATGCGGTTCTGTTTGGCCCTGAACAGGGATACTTGGCAAAACCTTGATGAGGTCCTGGCTGGGGCACAGAGTGAGCAGCGATAAGGGAAGGAGATGTGGTGTTAATGAATCAATATGCAAGAGAAATGTTACCTGCCAGGGACAGTGGCCACGACGGCAGAAAGATCCCCCAGTGATCCTGGTATCATCATGCTCTGCAGTTTGGTAGACTTTTGTCCAGCTGTGTAGATCTCTATCTGTCAGGTTTCCTTCAGCTTCAGTTTGATTGAGGCCATCATGCACATTCTGCCCATCCGCCGACCCATTGAGCCCAGGGGCACCCTGCTTTGCTGTTTCATTGAGTTTGGGGGTGCCCTCCTCTGTCATCTGGTTGAGCCCATGGGTGCCCCCCTCTGCCGACCCATTGAGCCTGGGGGCCTCCCACTCTGTTGACCCATTGAGCTGGGGGGCACCCCCCTCCACCAACTCATGGAGCCTGGGGGCGCCCCCCTCTGCTGACTCATTGAGTTTGGGGATGCCCCCCTCTGCTGACTCATTGAGTTTGGGGATGCCCCCCTCTGCCATCCGGTTGAGCCCAGGAATGCCCCCCTCTGCTGACTCATTGAGACTGGGGGTGGCCCCCTCTGCCATCCCGTTGAGCTTGAGGGTGCCCCCCTCCACTGACTCATTGAGCCCAGGGGCATCCCCCTCTGCCGACTCATTGAGCCCGGGGGCACCCCTCTTCACCTTCCCGTTGAACCTGGGGGCTCGCCCCTCTGCCATCCCAGTGAGCCCAGGGACAACTTCCTCCAAAGCACGCATGGATCTTTTAATCAGCCCACAGGGAAACTGAGCTGAAAAATAAGAAAAACAGCCTTTGGGTTTCAGTGTCAAGTTTTGATCCCTAAGCTAATTCTGCTCCTCTTCAGCTGTCTGAAGATGAACCATTGACCACCCATTAATCCTTCCCGTCATCCAAATGCACGTGAAGAGACGTACAATGGGTATCAACTCCTGATAGATCATACACATTGCCTCCACTGGTTCCTAGGCTCTAGGAACCCCGTTACTCATGCCAAGTGCTTTTACTCATTGTACTGTGAGCAGCTGTGTCTGGCACCTCCCCAAGCTCCCTGTCTGTCCACTGAGTCAGTGGTGTTCTCCCTGCACTACATGGCACAGTGCGGAGTAATCTCCTTTTCCTTTGCCCAGGAATTCCTCCTTGCTGAGGTAATGTTGGCGGAGCCTGAAAGTCCAAGGGGGATATTTGGGCTTTGAGATCAGGGTTTGCCTTCAGTAAAGGGAGTGGAATGAACAGAGTGGAGAAAAAGCCAGATTTTCCAGGCTTGCTGGTGTTTCCATGGGTAAATGAGTATACTTCAATTCCACATCACAGCAACCAGTTTTTCCCATAGATTCATTGGTGCATGTGACAGTCCAAGGGCAAGTGGGCAACCCAGTGAAGAGGGAAGGGCAGTGGCTGTAAACCTGTCCTGCTCTTCAGCCTAAGTAACTCAGAGTCCCGGAGCCATTACCTGATTGCGTACACCTCTTTCCATCATCACCCAGGGCATAACCCTCTGCACAGGAGCACACCACACGAAGGGAGTGTGCGGTATCTTGGCAATACTGCCAGCAGCCGCCATTCTTGTACCAGCATTCAAACTTCTCTGCAGGGGAAAGACATTGAAGCACTTCGCTTATTGTTAGCTTTGTTAGTCTCTAAGGTGCCACAAGGACTCCTCGTTGTTTTTGCCGATACAGACTAACACGGCTACCGCTCTGAAACTTCACTTATTTTGAGGAAAAGGCCCAGTAGCACATCAGCGTCTCGGCAGCAGGGCTGTAACAAACACATGGAGCTGACGACAGAGAAGAAATACAGCTCTACGCTATTAGATCTACTGGCAGGAGGGGGCGGCGGGACAGAAGAAAAACCACACCCCACAATTAAACTGAACGGCCAAGATGTGTGTGTGATTTTGACACACACTGTCTTAACCCTTTCCCTCCCCTTGCCTGTTTATTATTGTATTACAGTAACACCTAGACACTGCAAGAGGATTGGGGCCCCACTGTGCTAGGTGTTATCCTGACAGAGTGAGAGGCAGGGCTGGATTAACGCAGGGGCTTTAGGGGCTGCAGCTCAGGGCCTCAGGCTGAGGGGGGCCCCGCGGGCCAGATATGGCCCGCTGCTTCTTTTCATCTGGCCTGTGCAATCTCCACCCACAGGCCGACATCCCTGAGCTCGTGCCCCCTGGGGCTGAAGCGAACCAGGTCACAATGTACCCCTGTGCCTAGGCGGGGGCGTCAGGGAATTTGCGTGCCCCCAGAGAGCTGACTCCATTCACCCTGTAAGAGCTTAATACTATCTATCTCCCTTCTGCGGTGAATGTGTAAGCGCCTGGGGGCAGGGAGCAGGCCTTCACTTGTTTCTGGGAGGTGCTGAACATATTGGTGCATGTTATAAACATAGAGATAAGGACAGCTGTACTGAATTGCTTTACCTGTAAGGGGTTAAGAAGCTCAAATAACCTGGTTTGCAACTGACCAGAAGGACCAATAAGGAAAGAAGATATTAAATCTGGAAAGAGAGAAGAAGAGGGAATTTCTCCTGAAAACATACTCTGACATGTAGGGTTCCCCCCACTTTGAACTCTGGGGTACAGATGTGGGGACCCGATGAAAGACCCTAATATATTCTAAGTTTAGGTTAAAATCCAAACAAATTTTGTTCTTGAAAGTATTGACAAAGTGATTACACAAAAATTAGGAAAGGGTTTTGGAGTCCTATCCCCGAACCTTCACTCCTTTAGGGGAGTGAGTAATATAAAAATTGTATAAGTAGAATATTTTGTAGGATAGGTAAAGAAGAATATAAAAGAAAAAGAAGAAAATAAAATGCTCAGGTGCCAACCAGGTTATTTGAGCTTCTTAATCCCTTACAGGTAAAGTGATTCAGTACAGCTGCCCTTATCTCTATGTTTATGACAATTCACTTGAAAAGATAATACATAATAGCAACGTAGCTGTAATGAGATGCATTTGGCAAATGTAAGTTCATTGGGGAGATCATTATGGACAAAGAAAGAGTCACTCGTAATTTTTCTTAGTTCCCACTTCTAGTTATTCTGGGCAGTAATTTCCTGCCATGTTCTTTCTTGCAGACTGTAGACGGTGTTTCAGAGGGGAAGGAATCAGAAGTTTTTTGTTTTTTTTTTAAAGGCAACAGTGCCACCATTTTGTTCTCGAATGGCTCACGTAACAGGAACTTAGCACATGTTGGTATTGTACACTGAACTTTGGCTAGCGGGTCTGATGCATTTGATGAAGCTGATTACTAAGATCCCGGAGCCCCAGTGCACGCAGCTCTGGGATACAGCTTGTGTTTCTGTGGTATTAGGGCACCGGAGGAGCTGTGTATCAATCAGACCAATGGGGTTAATATTAATGTCTTCGTTATAGGTGAAATTCAGCCCTGCGCAGATAGCCAGCGCAAGGACCTAGGGTGAATTTCACCCTTCATCCTTTCTTCAGTAGAATGCCTATGTGCATTTCCACACTCACCTATTTCACACTTCTTTCCTCCGAACAGTGGGGGACAGATACAGAAATAATCGTAGTGTTTCTGTTTGCAGATGCCACCGTTCTTACAGGGATTCTCTTTGCAGGGATTTAAATCTGTTTGGAAGAAGAGACGCACATTGTGCTACCTTGTCACATACAGTTCCGTGACTTAGCAAAGGCCTGGCATGAGGAAGCGGACACACATTCTGTCTGGGTCGTCTCTCCACACTGACTTGTGGCAACTAACAGCAGAGTAGGAAACAGGTAAAAAAATCTCCCCCGGTCCTACCTTTGTAATCAAACCAAAACTCCATCTGCAAGAAATAATCACAAGAGAGGAAAACATTAGTTAATAGGGCAAGACACATTACCTACTGACTTTAGGAAATAATGGTTCTTGTAGCATTTTTCCTTAACTAATCTATATTGTGGCTGTGGGTTCACCCTTAGCTGCTGAGAGCACCTCTTTCGCTAGCCAGTTAACCACTGGGCCAAAGTGACAGTTAACTGGTTAAACTAGTAGCTAACCAGGTAGCGAGTGACAGATTATTTTTCTTGCTTTTGCTTTGGAAAATACCACATAGAAAGGCATAAGGATTTTTCCAAAGATTTTCCTTTTTTATCTTGCCAGTAGCCGAGAGTCCTAATTCCTGTGTTCAGAGACTGAAACTTCTGATCTTCTAGCCCGGGACCCCAGACTGGCAGCAGCATGCCATTAAAAATCCTGCCCGCCCTGTCCTGCTCTTCTCCGCCCCCCCCGCCTTGCAGGCAAGCTCCCCCCTCCCCAGCCTCTTCCACCAATGTGCTGGGTTCCTGCCCCTCCTCCTCTCCCTCCCTGCCTCCGATCAGCTGATGGCCCTTGCAAGGGAGCAGGAGCCGCAGCCCAGGGAGAAGGCGGAGAAGAGTGGGGATGTGGTCTTGGGGGAGGGGGGTGGAATCAGGGCATATCCCCTCCAGCCACCTGCCGTGAGCCACTCTGGGCAGGGGGCTGGGAGCACCCCCATGACCCTAGCCCACACCCCCAGCCCTCTGCCCTGACCCCTGCACCCCCCCACAACCCCAGCCCTGACTCCAGCACCCCCACACATACCCAGCCCCCCCCCACCCAGTGCCCTGACTCCTGCACCCCCCTCACATGCCCTCAGCCCTAACTCCTGCATCCTCCTCACACACCCACAGTCCCCTGCCCTCACTCTTGCACCTGCCACATTCCCACCCCCATCCTGAGCACCAAACGGGAGCTTCTGCACCACCCCCCCCCCACATTCCCACCTGCACCCCTTGCACCAAATGGGAGCTGCACAGGTAAGCACTCCACACCCAAACCTCCTGCCCCAACCCTGAGCCCCCTTCCTCAGTCTAGCTCCTGGCCAGACCCGACACCCCAACCCCCAGCCTGCTCCTTCACCCCCAGTCCTGTTCTCAGTGCACTCCCACCCTCAGCTCAGTGCAGAGAGAGAGGAAGAGAATGGGCTAGAACCAGGGAGAAGGTACGTACCCGCTCTATGTGGGCAGGTCCATGATCCCAGATGGCAGCAGGCTGAGTGGGGCCGCTCAGCCCACTGCCGGTCTGGGGTCCTGGCCGCCGGCTCCTCTCAGCCTGCTGCCGGTCCGGGGTTCTGGCTGCCTGCCCCTCGCCAGCCAGGGTCCTGGCTGCAGGCCTCACTCAGTCCGCTGCCGGCCTAGGTGAACGGAACCCCAGGCTGGGAGCGGTCTGAGCGGGCCGGCGGCGTAAGATCAGCATTTTAATTTAATTTTAAATGAAGCTTCTTAAACATTTTGAAAACCTTGTTTACTTTACAAGTGACAATAGTTTAGTTATATAATATGTAGACTTATAGAGAGAGACCTTCTAAAAACGTTAAAACATATTACTGGCACGCGAAACCTTAAATTAAAGTGAATAAATGAAGACTCGGCACACCACTTCTGAAAGGTTGCCGACCCCTGTTCCAGTCTCTTAATTTATCATCTGGGGCTCTCAAATAAGATTCTATTAAAGAGTTTAACAGGTAACCACCCAGTCAGCTGATTGAAAATAATTGTACTTCTCTTTGTTAAGTGCTAGCTTGCCCATTTCTGGTCTTGACAGAGCCTGTACCTCCTTTATTTATTTCCTATATCTGGGGTGGTGAGGCCTCCCCAACCCCCCACATCTGAAATAAGCTGGTGGGATCTCCAGAATCAGCAAGGACAGTGTTGACATTGGCTAAGATTTTCAAAGTTGATTCGTAGTTTTGAGTACCCAACCTCAGGCACTTTAAAGGGACCCAATGTCCTGACAATGCTCCACATCCACCCACTGAGAATCATCCTTCAACACGTCTCAAGTGGGACATCCAAAAAATCACCTGTTGCCTTTGAAAATCTTGATTTCCTTCATGGCATGCTTCAGTAGCACTGAATTACTCAACCAGCCTTCTTGGCACCTTATTCGATGCTTTGCAATTCATCTGAAACCTTGAGTAAAAACTCCTGTTCCTTAGAAATGGAGGAATAGGACATCATAGCCTGTCTGTGCTCTCTTGTTAAGGTTACATAAATTTCTGGGTTGTTTGTTTTATGCTTAATTACATTTTTGGAATTAGAGAATAATAATGATCAAAATCATAATTTTTTTCTACCACTAGCATTCTGGTGGCCTTTGGTCTTGTGGGTTATCATATGTAGGACCCTACCAAATTCACGGCCATGGAAAATGTGTCACGGACCATGAAATCTGGTCTCCGACCGTGAAATCTGGTCTTTTGTCTGCTTTTACCCTATAATACACAGATTTCATGGGGGAGACTAGCGTTTCTCAAATTGGGGGTCCTGACCCAAAAGGGAGTTCCGGGGGGATGGTCACAAGATTATTTTATGGGGAATCATGCTGTTGCCATCCTTACTTCTGCGCTGCCTTCAAAGCTGGGTAGCCGGAGAGTGGCAGCTGTTGGCCGGACGCCAAGCTCTGAAGGCAGTGCCCCCTGCCAGCAGCAGCGCACAAGTAAGTGTGGCAATACCATACCATGCCACCCACCCTTACTTCTGTGTTGCTGCTGGCATCTGGCTGGGGGGCCGCCCAATCGGTTGGCTGCAGAGCCGCTCCAGGAGTGGCCGACCCTCTCCAGATGTCCAGCCCTCTGCCCTGACCGTGAGCAGCAGCACAGAAGTAAGGGTAGCAGTTCCACAACCCCCCACAGTAACCTTGCAACCCCCATCCTCAATTCGTTTGTGTGTCAGGACCCCTACAAATTACAACACTGTGAAATTTCAGATTTAAATAGCTGAAATCATGAAGTTTATGAGTTTTAAAATCCCATGACTGTGAAATTAACCAATATGGACCGTGAATTTGGTAGGGCCTAATCATACCTAAGGTAACGATTCAGTCATGGGTATTTTTAGTAAAAGTCATGGACAGAGCACGAGCAATAAACAAAAATTCATGGCCTGTGACCTGTCCATGACATACTATAAATACCCCTGACTAAATCTTAAGGAGCCGCTGCTAGGGCGTATTTGGGGGGTGGGGGAGCAGAGCCCCAGGGGCCACTGGCAATGGGGGCGTGGGGCCAGCAGCACCAGCTGCCAGGGTCCACTGAGAAACAGCTGCTCTGACTGCCCCAAAGACTGCTGCTCAGGCGACCCCTGGGGCCAGCCGCACCGGCCACTGCGTGGGCATTTCCTGGGGCCAGCCGCCCGGGGCTGCCCAAGCAACGGCTGGCCCTGGGGCCGCCCCAGCAGCGGCTCCAGGGCATCTGGCTAGGGGGCCACCTGAGTGGCTGGCTGTGGGGCTGCTACAGCAGCGGCTGGTGTGGCTGTCCCTGGGGCCACCTGAGCAACTGGCCCCAGAGCCAGCTGCTTGGGCAGCCCTCGGGTCAGTCACACCAGCCACTGCAGAAGTCACAGAGGTCACGGAAAGTCACAGAATCCATGGCTTCTGCAACCTCAAACACGGAGCCCTACTCATATCAATGAGTAAGAACACTTCCTTGTATCTCCCCACTGATCAGCTATTGCTCGTTGCTTTTTCTGAAGTGAAATGCCTCACTGTTTTCTCCTGCGATTGGAAAATCTCCTTTGCCTCCTCGAAGGAGCAGGTTTCCTCAATGCATTCTCTCTCCAAGTTCCCTGGGTGAATCTCCTCCAGGAACTGGTTAGAGCGTTTACGGATCTTCAGCACCTGGTGTGCTTCTTCTTTTCTCACAAACACTATGAAAACAAAATTGGATCCGACCATTAATGCTGTCACAGGAAGCCAAAGCTTCATCTTTAGGCTAGAGATGAGTAATTTATGCTTTAACTTGGCGAAACAACACAGTGGAGGAGACAACTTTCAAAAAATCAAAACAGACTTAAGGACAACTTTACTCAGATTGTCTATGCCCCAACGAAGAGTCAGTATTCCCCTAGGTGGTGATCAGCTGAATAATATTTCAGTGGATTAAAAGACTACGTCATATAAAAGGAGCCAGCCTCAAAATTCATGACGTTGGGTTAAAGTTCATTTATTTGTGCTAATGACCAGGCATAGTGTTAGGCAGGTCTCAGTTAATCAAGGATTTATTGTGTCCAAATGAAATAAATAAAATTTATCTAAATATTTTATGTCCAAGATATAAAAACAGAACGTTCAGTCCCTCTGCTGTGTCACCTCAGAGATGAAGCGGAAAACTCGGAAGAAATGAAAGAGAACACCCTGAATATATCTCTCAATAAAGCATACCCATCTTCCCCTGTTCTAATGCTTTTTGGCAGAACATTTCTTCCAGTGTAAAGCAACTTTGGACAAAAAAAAAAAAAGCTTCTGACAGAACATAGCAGTGGAGGAAAGTCTACAATACATCACCTCCACCTGCTTAGCTATTGCTTACAATCGCCTTTGTCAGAGAAAAACACAGTTCTCACTCTCAGGTTGGGTGCAGCAAGTCAGATACACTTTATTTTCTCAAGCAATTGCACAGAGGGAGAGTGCGCACTAGGACACAGGGTTTCCCCCACCTAGGCAGGCCTCGCTAAAGATAAACAATTAGAGGAAGCATTTATACCTTTATTACAGACAATAATGAGCACCAGCTGCATATTGGTTATACATATTCCTTCATGATATCTTATTTTTCTCAACAATTTCTCTTATAGTCTACATTCTATTCTTATCTACTACGAGGTCACAACAGCCTCTCTCGCAATACTTTTCCCACTCGCTTCGCACAATCCCCGCTTCTAGAAATCTTGCGTTATTAAAGCTAGAGTTAGCCTGACTCCCGCTCATTTCAGAGGCCTGCATCCAAATTCCCTTTATCTACTTCCACACCATTGTGAGAACATCAGGGCCTATAGGCAACACCGTAAAAGAAAACTGCTACCACGTGGCTTCCTGCAGCATTGTGAAAAGTTTCCCACCTATCCTTCACTCTCTTCCCATTTTGGCTAAAACATTCTGTACAGACTATCAATCAAATGTCCAACATTTGGTTTGGCATTTCTGAATTTCACAGGGTCTCTTGTCACTCTCCTGTTGAACAGTGGCCCTGGCGAAATGGGGGACCAATATCAGAAGTTGTTACGCAGTTTTCAGTCTCCTATAGCTAAGCAATCATATCACTGCACCTCTGCTGTGTCAGACAATAATACAATTCCTGAGTAGGTAAATGACTAGCCCTGGAATCCTGGAACCCAACGAAAGAAATTGGATTGTTATTATTAGCTCATCTTAAAAGAAATCCCCCAAACCGTAGGAATCGTAATCAGCAGTTTCACTGGATGAGTGAAAGGGAACTTCCCGCTCACTGAGCCAGGAGGAGCTGTCCAAAGCTTGTCTCAGCTGGGAGTCTCTCTGGGCTAAATTTTCAACCTAGCTGTCTGAAGGTAGCCACTTAAATACAATTTGAAGCACTTAAATGCTGACGTATGTCCCTGATCCTGCAATCAGATGCATGAGGCTTTTTGTTTCCTTTGCCGTTCAAGTTGCAGGATTGGGTCCTTTGTCAGGAGGCATTGTGGGGTCCAGAGGATAATGTACTGGGCTGAGAGTCAGGAGACCTGCATTCTGTTCCCAGCTGACTTGTGTATTTTGGCAGGTCACTTCATTTCTCATTACAGCTCTACAAAAGGGGGTTAATGATACCTGCCTTTGTGAAGCGCTTTGAGGGCTACGTAGGAAAAGCACTACAGAAGAGCAAAGTAGTAATATTAAATCACCACAGGTTCCTAAAACACGGATTTAGGTGCCCAACTTTGGTCCTCTGTGCATAACTCATTGGATCCCATAAGTCCAGCAACACAAGGAGGTTATTGGACCTCAGGTAGGAAGCCCAGATATGGTGAGTTCATGAATAACCATAAATTAATTCTCATTTTTCTCCTGTGCATTTCAAGAAGTGCCTCTTGCCTACTGAACCTTCAAGATTCTGTGCTCAGAAAATGGGTGCAGTGTAATTTTAAATGCAGGCTCTCGGTGGGAGAAAGTGAAGTTAACAGGTAGTTCAGAAGTTCCTACCTGAAAATGAAACTGACCAGCTGCTGTAGATGGAACACATTAGTAAGAGAAATGTCACAAGTAAGGAACCTCTAGCCATTTTCGTGGCCATGCAGAATCCTCTGGTTTACAGATGGTCACCTGCTGGGAGAAAAGGAGAATGAAGTAGACAGATCCTGGACAAAAACAAGCAGAGAGCAGCATATAGTGAAAGAGAGAGGGAAAATGGACTCAAGGGAAAAAAGGAGGCGGCAATGCAGAGAAAAACTAGGTTTTGTTAGTCTTATTCATCTGACCTCATTTGTATTCTCTCTCCAAGTGACTGATGATGCACGTTGTGATAAGAAGCCAAATGCTCCGCTCACAAGGCAAAGTGCGCAGACTGAAAGAGCGTAGGAAAGTTGCAGAGGATAAAGAACCTGAGCCAAGTCCATGGAAAGACACTGATTGATTTCAACAGGCTTTGGATCAGACCCAAACTGAGCAGAAACCAGTTCTGTGGCGAACCTCACACCCAGATCTGGTTAACACATTGGCTAGTCAAGCCTGCTGCAGAGCTCCTGATGGGCTTGTCAAGTGACATCCATATGCTAGACTTTTACACAGCAAGCCACCCACCAATGCAAGCCCACAGGAGAGCAACACACACCTGCCAGTAAGGATTCTGAGAAGGGATGACGGGATTTCTTCACACGGTCATCAAACACCAGGGAACCTTGCGAGTGGGTCAGTGCGGACTGCTTTGGGACACCGACAGCCCCTTCTAAAAGCTAGGGCCCAGAATACATTCACATTTTGAAAGCGCTGTAATTATAAACACTTACCGTTTTAGAGCACTAGAAGTAATATTTGGATGAACACCAAAGACAGAGATGGGGGCCTAGAGGTTGATCATTAACCTATCACAAATATTGACAGAGAAAGCAAAGCCCTTCGTCCATGGAGCCAACTTGCACTGTAAAGCAAAAATGTTTCGTTCCATCTTTAAATCCTGCACTAAAGGCTGTTTCTCTGCAGCGTGCTTCTTGTGGAGGGTTTTGGTTGTATCATTTATGCTTTTGTGGGAGGGCTTCTGAAATCCCGTATTTTGGCGGTGCATTGGTATCACCTGGTTTGAATGACCCATGAACCTTTCAGCTCTGTAAATATTTACTGCAATGGGTGATCCTCAGATTTGTGTGTGGGCAGCGGGATTCAGAGGAGCCATTTGCTGGCAAATGTTGCTCTGTGATAACCATGGCTATTCATGTTTGCTGCCTTTAGTTGGAACCTTGGCTTAGAAGCTTTGACTAGGTTAGTATTAATAGACAAGGCAGATCCTTCCCTCTAGCTCAGAAGGTAGCAGCCCCAATACTCTCAGGTGCAAAGGTCGCGGGGGTTCAATTTCTTGCAAATGCTTTCCTATCAAGAAACATAATCCTGCATTAATATCCTTTGTTACTCCTTCTGCCTTAATTCTAGTCCCAAACGAAACACACTGCGAAAAGAGCGAGTGTGTTTCAGAGGACAGCACCAAGCACTTACCCTTCCCTAGCATTCCACTGGACCTGCTTCAGGTAAGCATTTAAGCACATGCTTAACTTTAAGTATGTGAGCAGTCCCACTGAAATCAATGCGACTACTTACATGCATTAAAAAAAGTGTATTGCTGAATGGGGATTAGATTTCTTACAACAACATGTGCGTTACAATTGGATCACCACATTCCCTGATCCAAGCTGGGAAGGGTGGGTGAGATGCTATCATCATTTACCACAGTGCCTGAATTGTTTGATTTCTTGAAGGCTCATCTTTACTCTCTGCAGTAACATTTATTTTACCAGGTTTAGGGACGAAGGCACAGCCTAAAAAATGTGATTATGTTTAATTTTAGTTTGGCTATGAGTCCATTTTGTGATGGCTACTAGGATGATCCGAGGAATGGAAAACTTGTCTTATGAAAGGAGACTCAAGGAGCCTGGCTTGTTTAGCCTAACTAAAAGAAGGTTGAGGGGAGATATGATTGCTCTCTATAAATATATCAGAGGGATAAATACCGGAGAGGGAGAGGAATTATTTAAGCTCAGTACCAATGTGGACACAAGAACAAATGGATACAAACTGGCCACCAGGAAGTTTAGACTTGAAATTAGACAAAGGTTTTTAACCATCAGAGGAGTGAAGTTTTGGAATAGCCTTCCAAGGGAAGCAGTGGGGGCAAAAGATCTATCTGGCTTTAAGATTAAACTCAGTAAGTTTATGGAGGAGATGGTATGATGGGATAACATGATTTTGGTAATTAATTGATCTTTAAATATTCATGGTAAATAGGACCAATGGCCTGTGATGGGATGTTAGATGGGGTGGGATCTGAGTTACTATAGAAAATTCTTTCCTGGGTATCTGGCTGGTGAATCTTGCCCATGTGCTCAGGGTTTAGCTGATCGCCATATTTGGGGTCGGGAAGGAATTTTCCTCCAGGGCAGATTGGAAGAGGCCCTGGAGGTTTTTCACCTTCCTCTGTAGCATGGGGCACAGGTCACTTGCTGGAGGATTCTCTGCTCCTTGAAGTCTTTAAACCATGATTTGAGTACTTCAATAGCTCAGATGTAGGTGAGGTTTTTCAGGAGTGGATGGGTGAGATTCTGTGGCCTGCATTGCGCAGGAGATCAGACTAGATGATCATAATGGTCCCTTCTGACCTTAGTATCTATGAATCTATGATTCTTACTGATTACACAGATCTATAAATAAAGTAACAGAACTGGTTGCAATCTCTACACCAACTAAGGGGCATTAACAAAATACGTGTGGTTTTGTCCGATAATTGCGAAACAAGGGAATCATATGTGCATCGTTCATCTGGACGTGTTGTAAAAGTTAGGAATTAAAGCTCTTCTCCTGCTCCTTTTAGAGTCAACAGCAGAATATCCATTGGCTCCGATGGGAGCAGTATCGTTGCCTGAATTTGCAAGTAACTGAGTCTGAGGGGAAGTCTCACTGAGCTCACGAAGTGTGAACTCTGGGAGAAGACACGGATGAGCGAGTGGATGCAGCAATGTTATAATGACAGCACTGAGTTGAAAGACTGGATTGACTGTGAGGGAGCAAGCTGAAAATTGTGAAAAACTAGTAAATGTGCCACGTAAGACTGAAACCGTAACCTGGGTTAACGATGATAGAGTTATCCATGCTATCATTTCCTGTTTCCCTAGTGAGAAAGTACCTCTTTAAATCTTGCCTTTTAAAACTGAAATAATTTCCCCTTAAGCTGGCATATGGAAAAACCAAACTCCCACTTACACTTTAATTTTAAGAAAACACGTTAGGCATAGAACATTTAGAGATTTTTCAAAACTAACCCAAGCGGTTTAAGTGCCCAGCCGAATAGGAGTCAGTTCTCCAATTTCCCTATGCTGCTTTGTACACCTTAGTCTTATATTGCTTGAATGTGAATCACTGTTATGTTCATCTGGACTGTTCAACTCATAAGGACAAAAATTCTCAACCTTGCACCTCAGCTCCCAAACAGCTCAGGTGACTAGATAAGTCAATTGCAGGCTGGTGCATAACATCATATATTTTGTCTCATACTCGGATTGCAAGCTCTTTGGGTCAGGTCCCATCTTGTCGACATGTAATTGTATAATACTTAGCACACTGGGGCCCTGAGTCACAACTGGTGTCCCTACAAATAAACAAATAACTACCTAAGATGGGGAAAATAGCAAGGAAAAGAGTACACACAGTTAACATATTCTTGCTTTATATACTCTAGCTTTAATACCAGAAGACATGACAGCACATTGTACTGTGTATTGTCATTAGCATATGGCCACAATGGTCCCAATTCCTCTTAATGAGAATCAGCCCTTAGATGAGTTGTCCATTGTTTTAATTTGCTGGTGGATCCACTCCAGGTATTGGCTGACTTTGGTGTAGACTCCAAACTTCTCCATTTTCCCACAACCTTCTCCCCAGCTCACCAGTCCCACTAGGAACCAAGTGTTCTTGAACTTAGTGATCATGGGGCCTCCACTGTCCCCACCACAGGCATCCTGCTTGTCTCCAATAATCCCTGCACACAGCATGTTCTCAGAGATGTCATGCCTCATAGCTTGGACACACTCATTCCGTGGGACCATGGGAATTTCGATGTAACTGAGAACAATAGAGTAATTTGAGGAGACGTCACTTTTGCTCCCCCAGCCAGTCACCACCATCTGCTTCCCATTCGCCGTCAGCTCTTGGTCTGCTAGTTTCTTGGTGGGAAGACAAACAGGGAGCACAAATTTGTTGAAAATCATGGGCTGAGCCAGATGCAGCATGGCTATGTCATTATCGGAGGTCTCCTTGCTGTAGTTTTCATGGCTCACTAGCTTGTCAACCGTAATGGTTTGCTCCGTTTCCTCATTCCGCAGACGGTGGTATTCCCCTGGAAGAGCAATGAGGTGTTACTGGGCTCCTGACAGCCCCACCCCCTGCATCAAACCACATTAGGACTAAAATACATTGAGTGCTCAGATTTGTCCCTGTTTTCTTAAAATATGAGTTTGCTCAAGTTACCCTGTTCTATCTTAACAGGGTTATATTTAACTGGCCTCCCACTCCTTACTCCACAGGGCAGGGACATCATCTTTTGATTTACCTATAAAGTACCATGCACATATTATGCAGCACTGCATAAATATATCAACACAATGAAGACACTGAAACTCTTCTGTGTTACCCTAGAGTGTCCATATTACAATGGCAATTGTACAACTGGAGAGAATTTCTTGTGGGGTACTTTCGTGGGACCCAGCATAACAGTTGGGGGGAACATGCTTATAGCACAGCAAAAGCAATACACTTGTACGAGTTCTTGGACGTGTGGTTAGTGGCTGATTGGTTGAACTCCCTGACATAAAGGCTATTAGGCATAGGCACCAACTTTTCCAGGCACTGGTGGGCGCTTCGCCCCGCCCCTGCCCCACCCCATTCCAACCCCTTCCCCAAAGTCCCCACCCCAACTCTGCCCCCTCCCTGCTCCTATTGGACCCCTTCCCCAAATCCCCGCGCCAGCCCCGCCTCTTCTCAGAGCACGCCCCTTCCCCCCTCTCTCCCAGTGCTTGCCGTCACAAAACAGCTGTTTCACGTGGCAAGCACTGGGAGCTAGGGGGAGAAGCGGAGCGGTGGTACGCTCAGGGAAGGAGGCATAGCAGAGGTGAGCAGGGGCGGGGAGGGGAGCTGCCGGTGGGTGCAGAGCACCCACCAATTTTTCCCCATGGGTGCTCCAGCCCCAGAGCACCCACAGAGTCAGCGCCTATGCTATTAGGGACTGACTTTCTGGACTAGTCCATCCTAGAAGCTGGGATATGTATTGTAAGAAATCCATGACCACCTAAGACTTAACAATTGTCATTGTGCTGCACACCCATTGGCCACTTGAAACTTCATCACCCCAGTGTAGTGACTTTATGGACAGTTCCAGGAGGACAGTTCCATACCTAAAGGGCTACATGGAAGACAGAGTGAAGGGGCATGCGAGAGAGTTTTTCACTGTTGGCACAGAGTGGAGGCAGCTAGGGGCAACACAATGAGATACAACAGCAGATGAGCAGGGAGGGCCCAAACTGTGAAGGGCCTTAAAGGAAAGGACAAGAAGATTGCCTTTGATGCAATGGAGAAAAGAGAGACAGTGAAGGGGCTCAAAGACATGATCAGAGTGGTAGATCAGAAAAGGAGTGCTCACAATGCATCAGCCCACTTAGTATCACAATCAGAGCACTTTGTATCACTTTGTATCACAATCAGAGCAGGAGTGCTCACAATGTATCAGCCCACTTAGTTCTTAGGCAGGCTCTTAGCTGCTCAAATGAAATCAGATGGGTTTATTAATATATTTTGTAAATCTCAGCTAGGTATGACGGGCTGCCTAGCCAACCCAGTTCTACATGCAGAATGACATGCTCCCTCTATAATCTGGCATCCTTCTCCCAAAAGGATCCTGAATTAGAATGTAATATATTAAAAGAGGGTAGCACAGGGGCTGGTCTTTTTTCCATACCAAGTCTTACTTTGAACCTCCCTTTGTCCTCAACGCAGTGTGCTGCCGTTAGAACCCAGGAGGGATGGATGAGAACACCTCCGCATTTAAACTTTCCCCTGCCATCTAGCAGCATGGTCTGAAACAAAGAAATAGAGAAGTACAGCACCACAGGATCCAGCTCAGACATGTAGGATATGATACATTCCTTCTCCATGCAGCCGTCTACACTGCACCTTCAGGTGCCAGAGCACGTGACATTAGCAGAGGTCAAAGTTCCTCGTTTGGTGGACAGAAGCATCCTAACAAGATATCTACAGTCCGCGTGGAATGAAGGTTTGGGTTTTAAGCGTTCCATCTAAATCAGTTTTCATGTTTCTTGCTGACTGGGCTCACTGCTCAGGAGATGCTGCGGACCAGCAGTTGGAAGCATTCTGGTCCTTCTGAGTTCTGGAGACTCGCAACTCAAGCAAGAGACGGTTTAGCCCAACTACCACCGTGTGCTGAAGTGAGTAAAATGTCTTGGGCTGATTCTCGTTTTTGCTAAGAGCTCTTTGTGCTGCCACGGTGGTGTACAGGGATCTTAGTGTGCATGAGACTCAGGCTGGCAGAACAACACTTTCTCTAATGGCCTGGTAGGGTCCGTACGGCGGATCCTTCCTCTGAGAGCCCCCAGCATGCTCTGTAGAGCTCTGGTATATTCTGTTAGACTAAAGCATGCTCTGTAACTCTAACCGATGCCTGGCAAGGCTTGTTTTACATTTATAAAAACAAAGCTGTCCTAAACCAACAAAGATTTCGTTCAGACGCTACCGGGAGGGATGGTACTACGGTAGCCAGAGTGTGCTGCAGGAGGCATTCAATACGTTCGAGAAGTGGCTGTCCCCAGCTTGGTGGGACACCACAGGCAGGTACATCCTGATGCTGCTTGCATTGGAATGGTTAGTAGCTTGGCAAAGAGTGGTAAGGCTAACAAAATACAGCAAAAGTTACATTCGCTTCGGCGCTCCAACTTTTGACTTGGCCTTGGAAAGTCTAAAGCAAGGGGAAGCTTAGCACGTGGTAGTCCCATCGTTTGTGACCGAAGTGCTTTCCTGTGCATACGAAGCAGTTCTGGATACAGACTGAAAGCTCCACCACGAAAGATTATTTATCTCTCACCTGCCAGGGGCTGTCTCCTTTTCTTCCCCTTTTCCCTGAAATGAGTCGAATTTGGACACCTGATTTGAGCTCCATGTGATCTGCCTTCACCCTTCCGCAGGGGAACTCCACTACAAGAGATAAATCACAGAGGTCAACCAGCAAAATCCAGCCAATTCAACACAATCACTTATCACAGTCAGCTTATTAAACAAGAAACTCTCTAACTCACTACTGTTCCAAAAAACCCTCACCCTGTCTCCTTGCTTCTGCGAGATGCTCTCAATGGCTTCTCTGCATTCCCTCATTGTTTCGCTGTGGGGGAAATTCCCCGATCCTCTGGTGGAGTTTGACTATGTGAGGAGTTCCTAACACAGAGATACATGATTGATTTCTAATTCCAATAAAAGGAGCTTATTTACCTGTACCTGGAGGTTCTTCAAGATGTGTGATCCCTATCTGTGTACCACTGAGGGTTATACACATGCGCCATGTGTCCGGAGCCAGAGATTTTAAAAGCAGTAGTATTCGTTGATCCATGCATGTGCCCTTGCTCTACCTTATGGTTTTGTCTGAGATGATAAAGGGCAGGACAGACTGACCGTGCCCTCAGTTCCTTCTCCACAGCAAATTGAACAGATCCGCAGCAGTGGGGAAGGTGAGTGCGTTGAAACACAGATAGGGACCACACATCTCAAAGAACCTCCAGTTACAGGTAAGTAACCTCCTCTTCTTCTTCAAGTGATGGTCTCTATTGTATTCCACTGAGGGTGATTAACAAGTAGTACCTAGTTAGGAGGACAGTGGAGGAAGATGTTGGAACCGTGGAATGGAGAACAGGCATGCCAAACAAGGCAACCGTTCCAGTCTCACACTAAGGTGCAATGGGAAGAGAAGGTATGTACCAAACTCCACATGGCCCCCCTACATATGTCTGTAAGTGGTATGTCATGAAGCACGACCGTAGTAGAATGGGCTCTCGTGGAATGGGCTCATACCCCAATGGGTGGAGACAGTCCCAATAACAGATAGCAGAGTGTAATGCACCCCAAAACCCACTTCGAGATAGTCAGAGTGGAGATTGTTTGCCCCTTAGTCCCTTCTGTTAGAGCGATAAAGAGTCTAGGGGACGTCCTGAATGATCTTGTCCTCTGCAAGTAGAAGGCCAGGGCTCTGCAGATGTCAAGGGAGCGAAGGTGCCATTCCTCCATTGAGGTGTGAGGCTTCAGGAAGAAAGCAGGTAAGTGTATAGGATGGTTGAGATGAAAGCAGGATACAACCTTTGGCAGAAACTTGGGATGCAAGTGCAGGGAAATCTTGTCCTTATGGAACGTGGTAAAGGGAGAGTCTATCATGGCCCCCAGTTCAGCTACCCTTCTTACAGAAGTAATAGCTACCCGAAAGGCAACCTTCATGGAAAGGAGTGACAGGGAGCAGGAAGCCATAGGTTCAAATAGAGATTTCGTCAAACACCCAGACAACAAGGTTGAGGTCCCGTTGGGGAGCAATGGGGTGAACGGCTGGATAAGTCTGGAGCAGGCCCTTCCAAACCCTGGTAGTCAAGGGGAGATTTGGTTTGTCTGAGGTGATAAAGACAGGGGGGTGGAGAGCACCAATAGCGGCTACATGCACCTTGATGGAGTTGAGAGTGAGTCCTGATGCCTTCAGGGACAGGAGGTAGTCCAGAAGAAGAGGAGTGCCTACATTCTTAGGGGAAACACCCCCCTGCTGGGCCCATGAGGTGAAATGCTTCCACTTGGCTCTATAAGACCACCTCATGGAGTCTTTTCTGCTACATGAGAAGATGTCTTGTATTGCAGACAAACATTCTCACTCTAGCGAAAATGCCCATCCAAAAACCAAGCTCGTAGATGAAGTGTCCGCGAATTGGGATGTCTGATCCTGCTGCCATTTTGTGTGAGGAGTCCCAGGAAAGCTGGCAGTGGAAATGGGGGATGTGCTGACATGTGAGAAGGAGGAGAAACAAAAACTGGTGAGACTAGAATGAGGCGATCAGAATGACTGTTGCTCTCTCCTGTCAGATCTTGTGTAGGACATGCGGCAGGAGCAGTAGGGGAGGAAAGGCATAATTGACCTGGTCCAACCAGCAGATGACTAGGGTATCTTCTTGGTAAAGGTTGCCAAGGTGCCCCCCTGCTCCCCAGTGCATTTGCTGTTGGTGTGGAAGGTGAAGAGGTCCATGGTCAGAGTCCCCCAGTAGTTGAAAATGTCTGTGGCCTTGGTGTCATAGAGCTCCCATTCATGGTCAGCAGTGAATTTCCTGCTGAGAGAGTATGCAATTACATCCTGAGTCCTGGGAAGATATGCTGCCGACAACAGTGTCTTGTGGGTAACACACCAATCCTGAAGATGAACAGCTTCCACACAGAGTGCTGACGACCTCGTGCCCACTTGTTTCTTGATGTAGTAAAGGGTGGTGGTGTTGTCTGACGTGGTGTTGTCTGACATGATGAGAACATGATGGGAGTGAATGGATGGGAGAAATGTGCGACATGCTCTCTGCATTGGCCAAAGTTCCAGGATGTTAATGTGCATCCAGGATTCCCAAGTACTCCAAGTCCCCTGTATCATGTGCTCACCCATGTGGGTGCCCCATCCAATGAGTGACGTGCCTGTGATCATCGTCGTGCTTGGGGAGAACAGGAGGAAGGGCATCCTGGTGCAGATCTGACCAGGGTCCTTCCACCATTGGAGAGAGGAAAGAATCCCAGGGGGAACTGTCAGTAGGAAGTCCATAATACCGTGTATTGGAGTATAGGCCTTCTGGAGCCACAGCTGCAAGCAGTGAAAGCGAAGGTGAGTGATGGCAGTAATGTACATGCAGGCCACCAAGAAGGGAAAGGCAAGTCCTGGATGGAACAGAAGGACCAGAGACCACATTGGTAATCAGTTCTTGTAGCGTCTGGAACCCTTCCTCCAGTAGGTAGGCAGGCATGTGCTGAGACTGCACTGATGCAGGCCCCAATGAATTCAAGAGCCTGTGTAGGATCCAAAATCTATTTTTCGATGTTTACATTCACCCGCAGGGAGGAGAGGAGTGTGAGCAGCATGGAGGTCAAGGCTCAAGTCCCCCTTTGGATCACACTGCTATCAACCAGTTTTTGAGATAAGGTAACATAACAACCCCTTGATGCTGACGGTGGGCCACCATCACAGAGAAAACTTCAGTGAAAGCCTGTGGAGCAGTGGTAAGTCTGAATGGTAGAAACCTGTATTGGAAGTATTGAAGGCCTGCTGTGAATCTCAAGAAATGTCTGTGGGTAGGACGGATATCTACATGAAAGTAAGCATCCTGCATATCGAGAGCCATAAACCACATGTCTTTTTCTAGTGAAGGTATGATGGCTGCTAGGGTGAAAATATGAAACTTTGACTTGTGTATGAAGTGGTTGAGATGACGGAGATCTAAGATCGGTCTCCACCCACCCTTCTTCTTGGGAACTAGAAGGAATAGAACCTTGTGCCCTAATAGGTCATAGGAACGGGTTTTATCACTCCCATTTGGAGTAGGGAGTCCACTTCTAGGGCGAGGATACTGTCATAAGAGTGATCCCTGAGGCGAGGCCGGAGGACAAGGGTGATGTAGTGTCATGAACTCAATCGTATAGCCACGTTGAATGACATCCAGGACCCACTTGTCCATTGTTATCGCACTCCATGCTGGTGAGAGAGTGCTAGATGCCCCGCAAAGGGGGTGGGTTGAGTGTATGGCATGAGGCAAGGTGGTTGGTGGGTCACAAGATTCATTCAGAAATATCACTTCTGCAAAGACTGAGTATGAGATGCTGAAGGCTATGACAATGAACTGAGAGGATGGGGCTATTGGATCTTCTGTCATTTGTGAGTAGGCTCACTGGGCCACTGATAGAAGGATTGAGAAGCTCTGAATCGTTGTGTTGGTCGTAGGTGGTAGATCTTGTGCTTGGGTGCTGGTATGTAGATACCCAGTGATTGTACAGTGGCTCTGGAGTCCTTGAGGGAGTAGAGGGGAATCCTCAGTCCTCTCATTGAAGAGATTAGACTCATCGAAAGGGAGGTCCTCTGTGGCGTGTTGGACTTCCCTTGGGAAATCTGATGAAGTAGCCACCATGCGCTTCACGTGACGATCCCCATAGCCATTGTGCACTGAAGAAGTGTTTGCCACATCCACTGCAGCCTGAAGTGTCGTCCTCGTGACCAGTTTCCCCTCCTGTAACATAGCCTGGAAGCAGGCATGATCTTTCTTGGGGAGCTTGTCTGCAAAATCCACCAACTTTCCGGAGGTAAGGAAGTAATATTTAGCGAATAGGTCCAAGTAATTTGAGATTCCAAATTGAAGGCTGGCAGAGGAGAAGACCTTGTGATCCAGAAGATCCAGTCACTTGTCCTCCTTGTCTGCCAGGGTAGAGCATGGGTGTTGTTGCCAGGTTCACTCCATTGCCACCTGCATGACAAGGGAATTGGGTGGGAGGTGAGAGAACAGAAACTCAGACCTCTTCGCGGGCATATAGTACCTCTTCTTCACCTCCTTGGGGGTGAGTACATAAGTGGCTGGAGTGTGCTAGACAGTCTGGGCTGGTTGCAGAATGGTCAGTTACTCTGGTCGGTACCGAGGCATGCAAGATGTCAAGCAGCTGGTGCAGTTTGTCCTGGACCTCCTCCAGTGGGATGTGGAGGTGTTCAGCCATCTTGTTTAACAGGTCCTGGAACTGGTGATAGTCTGGGGACAAGGAGGGAGTCGAAGACACTGTGCATCCAGGAACAAGGAAGGGAACTGCTCCAGTTCTGGTGGTACCGTCGGAGTTGGGCTAAGCGGTTCTTCCTCCCAGTATTGGAATTCTGAGCACCTACTCAATGATGGTCGAAGAGGCAAGATGGGGGACTCCTTTCAAGCTGAGTGGGAAGGTTCTGAAGGTAGGTACTGGGGCTGGGGCCCCCAGTATGGCCAACAAGGCAGATTTGATGGTTGCTGTGGAGGGCCCCAAGTAGTGGTGTACCAGTCTTCTTTGTTGTGGATAGGAAGGGCACTGCCACTGACTCGTCAGAAACTTCAGTACGGGAGGGGCGGACCCTGCTCTTTGTCCGAGTCCTCCAATGCCAAAAAGTCAGAGCCTGGTTCAAATCGCGGAACTGTAGGGAAGTGGGTGGGAACACAGCCTGAAGGAGGTAAGTCCAAAGTAGGACAGCCCACCCCCTTAGGTGGAGACTGAACCTGAAGATGTGGCAATGTCACCTCCTCCAAAGCCAAGAGTTCATGAGGCTCGGGGGCCAACTCAAGCCTCCTGGGCATCAACAGTATATACTCCACAGTCAGAACTGGAGCTGGAACAGAGGCCTGCCTTTGAACTGAGGGTTCCTTTGACTTCAGCGGTGCTGATCTGGAAGGGGTACACGGCTCGGTGGACAGGACCAGTGTTCTGTGCAATTTCTTGTCATTCTTGTGAGATATGAAACATGCCGTTTTCTGTGACTAGAACTTGTGGATGAGGCAGTGTCCTTCCTGGGCCTAGAGGAAGATTTACTGCCATGCTTATGCACATACTTCTTTGCCTCATGACTAGGTACCAACAGAACCAGACTGGGTCTCTGCGGTAGGAGGTGTGCTCCTCAACTGCTCAGGCTGACGTACAGGGGGAGTTCCCCAGTCTGGATCCAACTGTGGCCTCATTGTGATTTCCACAAAGTGCTTCTTGAGGTGGAGAGCCCGGCCTTCCTGCATACGGCTCGATGCAATGTGGGCTTCTCCCAAGCAGTAGAGCAGCATTGGTGCTCATCACTGACCGAGAACGAGCGAGGGCAGGAGGTGCAGATCTTGAACCCTGGTATCTTTGACGTAATCCAGTACTCAGGCCTGGGGAGGGTGTGTGTGTGTGTGGGGGAAGCGGGAGACCTTTAAAATGGCATCCCAAAATCCTGAAAACTATCACTAACCCACTCCAAAACAACAACAATACTAAGCATACAGAAGTATAAAACAGTTTTTTTTCTGTGTTTTAGAAAGCGCATCACAAGAGATGAGAGAACAAGAGAGGCTCTGACTTGGACCATGCGGCAGTGAGAAGGAACTGAGGGCATGGACAGTACATCCCTCCCTTTATCACCTCAGACGAAACCATAAGGCAGAACAAGGGAGAATGCACGGACCAACGGATAATTACTCCTTTCCAAATCTCTGGCTCGGGTCGCATGGTGCATGCGTATAACCGTTGGTGGAATACAATAGGGACCATCACTTGAAGAAGAAGTGGAAAAATCCCAAGGAGAAAATCACTCTGCATGGGATAGATGCACTGGAACTATTAGAAACTGTGTTGCATATGGTTCTTCCACTTCTTTTCTGAAATGTGCCCCCCATTCTTTTGTTTGAGGAACACTGTACAAAATCAGAATTGTGGGTGTCCTCCCACCCCACCCTTCCTTCTTACCAACAGGCTCACACTTGGAATGGTCGTCCATCAGCTGATACCCTGAGGCACAGCTGCAATAGCGGCGCTGGCTCTGCTTCGGATCCTCATGACAGAAATGTTCACATCCCCCATTGTAAGTGGAGCAGTTGGTGTAGTTGGCCTCTGCGAAACAGGGAAGGGGAAAAGAGATGCAAGGTTAGAAGGCTTAGGAGTCACCTGATGGTAAGGTCAGCGTGGGACTTGATGTTCCCCTTTGAAACTGGAATAGGTGCACTGTGAGAAGTAATTGTCCAGTGTCTTGATTTGAGGGAATAGCAGTTGATGGATTTGGATTCCAGCTTCTGCTTCTGACTTTGTGGCGTTCGTAGCAGATTGAGAATGCGGCTGGCCGCTGGGAGTGCTGGGGGAGAGGCCAGGGGCATGATACCAAGGAGTGTGTTGGGGAAGTAGACTGAAGGTCTGATAATTCTCTTCCTTGCCACTGAGCATGAGTCTACTGCATACACTGGTCAGCAGTTCGCTGGGGAAGAAAATCAGCTCTTTTAAAACGATCCAGCCTCCAAGTTCAGGCTGCAATAGTTCAGCTCAGAATTTGCTCATCTCTGCATTGGATTGTGGCATTTTTTCACTATCTTGCAAACAAAATCCATCCTTTCTTGTTTTGCTGACAGCTTTAGCAGTTGTGGCAGACCCTGTTTTACAGGAATATTTTCATTGGCGAGAGACTTAGACCTCTCCCATGATTATAGATCAGTTTTATGCTATTTTAGAAAACAACAATCCCCTGGCAGGCCATGAAATAGAGAGACACAGTATCAGAAGCAGACAGGTTCTGCAATGACAGAAGTGTTGGTTTCCCTATACAGGCAGAGGTACTCCCCGCCCCTTCCCCCGAGTTTTATTTCTAATATTAAAATGGTGGATTGAAGCCAGCTTTACCATGTTGGCACAGGCGTCCCTCCCAGCCTTGGTTGCAAATGCAGTTAAATTGTCCAATATTGTCCAGACAGGTCCCATTGAAACAAGGATTGGATAAACACTGATCTCCATCTGAAATACACATGCAGGGAAATCCAGATCATGAAACCTACCATCTCTCACAGGCCAGAGATTAACTACAGCTGACCTCTTCAGTCCCAACCATCCCACATCAGCTCAGCAACTGGGCTTTGCGAGCTCAATGGAGCTTTATGGTGCTTTTTTTTTTTTTTGCCTGTTGTATAGTTGCTCCAGAGGCACAAGGACAATATGATGGGTTCTGAGTTACATCGGTAGGGCATGTGTGCTGGGGGCAGGAAGGAGGGCAGCAGGCACTGAGTGCAGAGGGGCATGGGTTGGTTTTCTTAGAACTAGGAAGCAATGGTGGAGTTCATCCTTTGTGTGCACCAGGGAGGTCTACAGTCATCACTGGGATTAGGAATGATCCCCCATCAACTTTGACCAGCGGCTTGGCTCTAGGAGAGGATACGGAAACAGGCATAGAGGTGTTTGGAATCTGCCCCTACAGTCCATGTGGTAGCTGGGGATACACACTGTGACATGAGAACACAGACTTTGCAAACACGTAAAAGCTGGAATGAATGACAGAGAATTAATATACAGAACATGGCTGCAAGGATGAAGAGGTACCTGCTGCATGGGGGCGGGGGAGAGGGAGAGGCATGGAATTGGAAACTTTGCCTTACTTACCAACATACTTAGTCCAAAAGTTTAGCTGTGGAGAAACATAAAAGGGGTTAGGGCTGGAAGCAGACTGTTCTAACGAATGAACTTTAACTGTCTCTCTGCCTTGGAGGAGTGCAATTCAGGTCTCCAGCTAATAGCTCTAGTGTCCTTCCCTTTGACACAGCAGTAATAAGAATCAATTACCTGGCTGGGTGGCAGGCTAGGATGTGATGCTGCAAACACAAGGCACAGTAGTCATACCACCTCCCTCGTGCAGGTCCCGCTCTTCCACTCATCACACCTCCCCACCTGCCCCCAACCACTCGTCAGCCCAGTACACTGTACCACATCAATCCCAACCAGCCTTTTCCCCACACACACCACCGCCAGTAGCCAACCCCCTCACTGGCCCCCCATCCCAGCACACACATCTTACATACTACTGAGAGCTCAGGGACATTGATGCTGGCTGGTCCTGGGTGTGTGTTTGATTCTGGTGGGCCTGGGAGGACCGAGCCATCTCAGTGATGGGCCCAGCTGTGCCCCTTACCTCCCTCAATCTGCATCAGCTTCTTTGCTATCAGGAGGCAACCGCTGACTGGGTAAGTCCCCTGTATTTCTGGTGTACAATTACAAGCAGTGCCCAGCCAGGCAAAAAGACAGACCATTCACCAGACAGTGAAACCTCTTCTTCTAGGTGATTGGCTCGAATCCCACCCACTTTGGTAATGGCTACATGTTGTTACCATACAGTCTCCCTTGTGTTATTGCCAATAAAGCTCACAGGACACTGAGATGTGGGCCTCACCATGCTCGCTGCCATGCATTCACACAGCTAGAGGCAGTCTCTGCCCCAGAGAGCTTACCATACTAGCAAGATAATACGCTGAACCCTGGATGAGGTGAATAGTACAGGAAGCAGGAGCACACAGAAGGAGAAAGTGATTTAAATGAAAGGCAGCTGTCAGGAGGGATTTGAAAGAAGAGAGAGGAGATGGCGCCTGGCAGAGGCTGCCGGATGACATGTAGAAGCTGGGAATGGGCAAAGAGGAAAAGTTCAGAGAGAAGTGACAGTAAATAGCAAGATGTTGCAGTGGGGGAGGTTTAGATTGGATATTAGGAAAAACTTTTTCACTAAGAGGGTGGTGAAACACTGGAATGCGTTACCTAGCGAGGTGGTAGAATCTCCTTCCTTAGAGGTTTTTAAGGTCAGGCTTGACAAAGCCCTGGCTGGGATGATTTAACTGGGAATTGGTCCTGCTTCGAGCAGGGGGTTGGACTAGATGACCTTCTGGGGTCCCTTCCAACCCTGATATTCTATGATTCTATGTCAGTGGGGCAAGATTCCAAAGGCCTCTTAGGGGAAGAGGAGCCTGAATGTGCTGTGGTAATAGACAAGAAGCCAATGGAGGGAGTCAAGCAGGGGCAGACGGGCTCCGTGCGTGGGGCTGGCAGGGGAAAGGAAGATGGCTTTAGGAAAGGCTGGCTGCAGGAGAGCTGGGGCAGGAGGCAGACAGGAAAAGACTACAATGGCCAGGGGAGACCTGCCAGCACACACACGGGAGACAGGGCTGGCTTTTGTTTTTACAACCAGACCCACGATGAATAAATAGAGACTAAGGGCCAGATCCTCCGCTGGTGTAAATCGACACAGCTCCATTGCTATCAGTGGAGTGCTGCACATCCACACAAGCAGGGGCTCTGACCCTAAGAGAGAGGAGGGATATTTAAGGGACGCTTTCATGATGCTCCTGATGGGAATACGTTCCCAAAATCAGCGTTTCACTGGTTAATTCATTCTCACATCCAGCTTTAGGGGAACGACTTACAGTTGTTTCCCTGGTCTCAAATATCTCATGGGCCTCCTCCAGGTCACACTGCTCCTCAATACATTCTCGCTCCAAAGAGCCTGGCTTGAGCTCCTCCAGAAAAGTGTTTGCCCGCTTCTGGATTTTCAGGATTTGGTTTGCATCTTTGCTGCTGTAAAATACTTGAAGCCGAGAGAGGAGAACCAACACGGGGCTCATGCATGGCACCAAATCTTAGTTTGCAGCCCCTTTCAGAGATATTCACTTATTTATTATCTCCAGCTTAAGACACCTTCTGCCTGGTTTTTAGAGGTGCCCAAGAGCACAGGAGCACCTCTAAAAGTCAGGCCCAGAAGATCTGAAGCTGGACACTCAAAAACCCAGAGGGACATAGAATCCGTGAAGTTTCCAGAGAACATTGGCCCTGGTGTGGTACTGCTCAGAGAACATGTTCAGGTGGGCAGTGGGAAGACGGCTGGGGTAGAAATATTCAAGAACAGACTGAAGGACAGGCCCGTGGCATTTCCATTAAGGAACTGAATAACTGGTAATGGAACCACTGGGACTGCACAGTGTAATTAGCAAGTGCTTTGCAGTCGCACTAATTAGCCTGTTTTGAGTATAGTTCTGCCTCCTGTCAATGCACAGTCCTGCCTTACAAGTATTGCAGGGCCTTTAGCCTGTTGCACCTATCCCACAATGCATGGCACTGGTACCCCTCCATTTTCACCCGTTCACAGGTCTGGCTTGTTTCAGTGGATGTTTCAAGAGGGTTCACTCCTGCACAAATTGCTACGAATGTGCCGTGAGGAGCAGTGCTGCACCCACCCACTGCAGATGCCATGCTGGAGCACTGTCCAACTGACTCTGGTGGCCTGGAGCATATTGCAAGAAGCACAGCTTCCTTTGGCTGGAGGGTCTCCAGAAGGCAAGAGGCCTGGGGTCTATTCCTAGTTGATGTTTCGTTGCAGTCGGTTTACTTGCTTGTTTCAACTAAACAATTCTTTTTCGTATTTGCCTCACAGTAAGAAGCTTAGTGTTGTTGTCGCTGTGTTGGTCTCAGGATATTAGAAAGACAAAGCAGGTGAGTTAATGTCTTTTATTGGACCAACTTCTGATGGTGAAAGAGACATGCTTTCGAGCTACACAGAGCTCTTCTTTGGGTCCTGAAGACAACAGCATGAAGAAGAGCTCTGTGTAGCTTGAAAGCTTCTCTTCCTCAGCAACCAAAGGTCCAGTAACAGATATGACCTCCCCCGCCTTGTTTCTCTAGTAAGAAGCTGAGATAGGAGTGATCTAACTGGTTTCAGAGGCAGGAAATACTACTTGACTGTGAGGCCAAGCCATCCCTCCCACCTCCTCTCAGACAGTCAGGGTCACAGGGCACAGGGGGAGAGAGCTGGGTAATGGAGCGGCCTGGGAAGTTAAGCAGGCAGGTGGGTGGTAGGCTTGTACATCTGTGTGATAGTGCTAAGGTCCCTTTTCTGTTAGTTCTTTTGCAGGAGTCTGAGAGATGCAGCAGAGGCAGCGGCTTCATTGCCATGGGGCCTCCCAGTATGGTCTGAGCAGCCATGTATTGCTGGGTGGGTGCGTCTTGCACAGTACTTGGGGATGGAGTGGGGCTGTGCTTACTAACCTGCCAGGAGGTGAAGACACACTGGTCAACGTGGGTATGTTTACAAAGCAGAGAAAAACCAACAGCTGGCCTGTGCCAGCTGATTCAGACTGGCGGGGGTTGGGCTGCAGGGCTGTTTCATTGCTGTGTAGACTTCCAGGCTTGGGCTGGATCCCCCTCCCACCTCACAGGGTCCTGAAGCAATGAAACAGCCCCACAGTCCATCCCGTGAACCCCAATTAGCTGGCCTGGGCCAGTCATGCACATCTAGTTGCTGTGTAGACATACCCTATACCTGCATTACAGAGGCAGCAGGCATGAGTCCTCCATGTTCTCACATGGCTTTCCATGGGCCATACACTGGTGTGTGTACATGCAGTGTCCTCTCTGTGTAAGTTTCATGCAGTGTTAGGTTTGTGGTTCTTGTCTGGTTTTGCCTTTGACTGGGAAGGGTCTGAAGTAGGGCTCTGGTTGAAATCGACAGGGTTCCCTCACAGAAGGACATTACCTTTATCAGCAGGATGAGCCTTATCTGACCCTGTGAGGGCTCCTTGCACTAGGATAGCTGTTCTGTCAGCGTTACCAGTCACTGGGCTGCTGCCCCGTCCCTGGGGCAGCTCCACCACAGCCAGCGGTGGGGATCGCAGCATATGCCGGACTCAGGGTTTTAACTGCCACGTCATCTCAGCCTGCTCTGGGCAGGATTACACATGATGGCAGCAATGCAGTGGCCTTTCTGCAACAGTGCTCTCCCCATGGATACCACAGTGGTAGCTGCACCAGGATAGCACCAAAGGAGACTAGTTAGTACAGGGAGAAACTCTGAGTGGAACTTACCTGAGGCCCCATGTCCACGGTGCACAGAGCAGGCAGCCACCAACACCCAAAGAGTACAGAGCCTCCACATAGTGCAGAATGGCACACCTAGGGGATTAAAGGGGAGGAATGAAAGCGCATGCCCCAGCAGGGCCCAATGCACTCCCCGAGCTGGAGGAATTTCTAGCTAGGCAGCAGATCAGACTGTTCCCTCCTTTGTTTTCCAGGCAGCTGGAGCCCACCTGAAAGGCCGACTTGCTCCTCAGCCGGAGTGCAAATCAAAAGCAGTGGATCGTTAAAGTCCATCCTAACAGTTCCACTAGTTCCCTTCATACCATCGTCAGCGTCCCCACATACGTCTTCTTTCTCCTTTTCCCTTCCCAGATTCAGGATTTGCCAAACAAGCCTCCCTCTTAAATCGAGCAGGGTATAATACTTTGGAAGCACTTACTGATCGACCAGTTTGAATCACAGCTCTCTGCTCTTCTGCCATGAGCCCTGGTGGAGGCTAGTTAATCCCTAACTTCAAATATTTACTCAAGCCACATGGGCCTTACTTTCAGTCAGTCAACAAATAGGGTACAGCTCCTGGGACAATTCCCTGCTCCCAGGAACATGAGTAAAATGGCCCCTCTGGGGGTCTGAGCTGTTTACGTCTGGGCTTCCTGTTGCTTTATTTTTTGCCACTGACAGGTAAGATCCACTTGAAGCTGATGGTGGTAAATGCAACCATGGCAGAACTGAGAAACCTACTTCTTGGTGAATCCTAATGCCTGCAGATAAGGGTCCACTGCCTTCTCCACACTGGGTGGGTCTTGTTCCCGGTATTATTCTACATGGGGGCAAGTGCGTTAGTATTCTCCGACTTTCTTCTCACCTGGACAGTCCCCACCCTACAACGGGACCACCTTTTGAGCTGAGGAGGCTAGCGCCGACTCCTTATAGCCACATGGGGTCACTAGAGTGCCGTAACATGCACTTCTGCCATCCTGGAAGGAAGAGCTCTGAATGCATAGATTCCCATGCCAGTGCCAGCATCACCCTTAGGAACTCCCATTCTGTGATTAAACATCACATCATCCTCCCCACTTCACCCTCACTGATGTGATCAGGAGCGAGATGTTTGCTATAATTCCATAATAAATATATTACAAAATACACACACACACACAATCAGAACCACAATACTACACCCATCACCCCTGTTTTTTTTTTAAATGTCCTCCTTTCAGGAGGACCAAAAATGATCATTTTTATTCCAATTTAGGTTAGGTAATTTGAGAGATTGATCTTCTCTCTGGGACCAGGAAAACTGCATGTAACTGTATGTGTTTGTCCCGCTGTCGTATTTCATCTTTCCAATAAAATCTGTATTATAAAACAGTGGAGAGATCCTAAGTATGCAAAAAGGGAAGCAAAACGGTCCCAGATGTGGTCGCACCAGTAGCTGTAATAATAAAATCCTCTGAAAACTGTTCATGTTCAGCTGTGGTTCAAAAGTGGGGAGGAAGGGGCTGATGGCTACAGTGGGAGAGGAGCTTCCAGTCCCCAGGGACCACCAAAGGGAAAGCAGACTCTGCTGACTCAAGAAGGGATGGAGGAATCCCTAAGATCTGAGTGGGTCTGATCCCAAATCCCAACTCCAAACATCCTCCTGGTATTTGGGGTGATTCAGATCGGGATACAAAAGCCCTGGCCCTGCAATTGGATCCATGCAGCAGGCCGTTGAACCTGGGCAGAGTTACACTGACTTCACTGGGACTCCAGGCAGGTTTAAGGGTCCATCTGTGTAGCTCTGACTGCAGGATAGGGGGCCAAAGTTTTCAGCTGAGCCTTTCTCTACCTAAAACCAGGATGCCATTAGTGTGCCACCTCTGAGATGCAGAAACCTGGGACATCTGGGATGAGCCTGAGCCGATAACACTGGACAGGTTGCCTGGAACAGCTATGTCCAAAAAGGGACAACCCTGGGAAAACCTGGTCAGGTGGCAAGTCTAGTCTGCATAGGACTCAAGAAAGAGGGTGCAAAGATAGCCAGGATGGTTAGTACCATTAGAGGCATTCAAGGAAGCCTAGACTGTTTAGTTGTAATTTCCATTTTATGGGATACATTTAACATCAAACAATAGCTGCACAAAACCAACAGAGACAACACATACCTGGCAAGGGGCTGAGTTAACCCTACGGCCAGAACCTTAACCTTTGCATTCCCTGATTTTTCAAAATTTCTGTTGTCCCTAATGGGACACAGTAACAAGTGCAATTTCCTGATCTGACTCCTCTGATGGAAAGACTGATTAATTTCAATGGCCCTGGATCAGCATTGAAAACATTCTGGGCTCTCCTTGTAGTGACAGTTCTAATACTTGACTGTCTTTGTTCATTTGTGCAGCATCTGGCACGATGGGTTCTGGTCCATGACTGGGGCTTCTAGGTGTTACAATAATACAAACAAAAAACAACAGTGTATCAAGTACCTGTTGGACTACATTACCCAGAAGTTGGGTGGGTCTTTGTTGGAAGAGAAAAGCATGGTAAAAATCAAGGTACCTGTACTACCTTACAAAAAATATGCCAGATGCATATACTACATGTACTATTGCATGACCGTAGGGTTTTTTGGTTTTGCGTTTAATTAATCTGATAGTTGAAAAATAGCCCTTTTTTATTTTAACACAACTTATTTGGTGTGGACATCTCTCCAACTGTCTTTTTGGTATCTGGGTTTATGATGTTGAATTCAGTATTTCTGCTGTTTGAATTTTGACCACATCCTATCCATTGATCGTGCAAAGCCAGAAGACAGCCTGCTTAAACGGTCATGTAAAGCATGACCTGGGAAGTGGGGGGAACACTTTGGGTGGGATATTTCAAAGAAGGTTAGAGGCCTAAATCTCATTTAATTTTAGTGGCAGCTGGGTGCACAACCACCATAGTCTCCTATGAAAATACTGGAATGATACAAAGTAACTGCGTTTTAATCACATGGTGTGGCTGGAAGCCATCCTTAGTGGTGACTGGTGGATTAATAAGTAGGGGTTGCTTGCACTTTTTTTCTTCTTTCCAATGTATAAAGGTGACCTGAAAGGGTTAGTTTCTTTAGAGGGTTTTGGTTGGTTGCCTTTATTTTGGGGGGACCAGAGGGGGAAGGAGGGATAGTAAGAGATTTTTTTTCTGCTTTATGTTAGAAAGTCATATGCGGTCTGGATTGCAGGAGCCTGTTACAGCTGCAGACCTTGTGAAACAGTAACACCAGCCAAACCGGGAGTGAGGGAAAGGGATTTTTAGTCTGGCTGATTAAAACTCTTGGGTTTTCTTAACAGTTATTTCATTCCAATGGCTAATTAACATTCAGGACAAACACCCTTGCCCCTGGAACCTAAGGCCCTAGCGCTCACAGTAAGCCTCTCCGAGCCTTCCTTGAAGTCCTTGGGTACAACCAGAGAAGAGCAGATTGACATTCCTGTTATTTCTAACATACGGAAACAAATGGTGGTGGGGGGGGGGACACTAAAAAATTCTATGATTTAGGGTTTGCTTTTTTAAAAAAAAACGTGTGTCATAAAGCAGCAAAATGAGACACAAGCCCATGTTTCGAAAATCCCTTTTGTGTCCCCTCTAAACAGTCTGAGCAGCAATACCTTTCCCTCTCCCATGCTCAGTCTGCCAGCTCTTGGGATGGCGTTTTGCCAGTTCTCCAGCCAGAATATTGGCCCAGGGCAGGAAAAAATTGGAAATTCTAATGTTAAATAAATAAATCAGAAAAACCTTCCATGCCTCTTCATGAATCCTAGCGACCCAAAAGAGAACACAAACCAATTCCCCCCATGCCCACCCTTTGCAGGTCACCATAAGGCAGCTTTTCTAGGGTCTGCAGCATGCTGGGTGGGACTGTCCATGCTAATTGTCCCCACAGCAGCTCATCCTACTGGGTCTGAGATAAGAGACCATGTCATTGCCACGTCAGAAAGAGGTGGGGCTTCACTGGGTCCCAAAAAAATAAATTCATTTGATGGCCACTGAATATGCTCAGACATGATTTTTCAATGGCTTATAACGGTTATTCACTCAATTTTTCTGAACCTAGTCATGGGCATTCTCCAGAACAAACACTCTTTGCATGCCAAGGTTCACGGTTCAAGGATCAGTCATTTTTGGAGTTGTGTGAAAAAATGGCAGTTAAAAGTTGAAAAAGTTATTTTTTTCAACTGTCCCAGCAAAGATTTTCCTCGAAGTTTCCATTCAAAAAACAAAAACTTTCAGCTGAGACTATACATGGAGGATTTAGGGTGGGGGAATGTCCAGAAAGTTAAGAGCAAATGAAAACAGAGGCTTATAAATAATACTATTGTATTACTTTAACTACTGTATCAGGTTTGTCCACTCAGCAAACAGCAATATAGTACATGGAGCTGGACTAATTGCCTATAGACAGTGCTCTGTGTTACCGTGAAGGAAACCTGCATTTGATTGGTAATCACATGACCCCCAGGAGCTGAAGATTTAAGAAAACACACCAAATATTTCATGATCTGCGATAAAATCATGATGAGTAGGCAACACTGCTCAAGCTCAAGGGCCAGACAGAATGGCTTGAGTCACAAGAAATGATACAGGTGGGCTCCTAACGAACTATTTCCTGTCCCTCTTGGTCAGAAGGATGGTTAACTAAAGTTTGAACTCAGGATGAGAAGAAGATAAAGGGGAATAAAGATATGGATCTTTGGCAGACTGACAGGAAAGAGAGGATCCACAGCAAAAATTAAATAATACTGTAGCGAGAGATCACATTCAGAAGATATTACAAATAGATAAAGGCATTAGAAATAGACATCACAGAGGAAAACAATCCTGTAAAGTGAAAAGGATTATGGATCATAAGATTTCTCAGCTCAAAACCATCCCTTCACGAAGCTGATCTGCAAAGGCAAATGATGGGTTCGGGCTCTGTTGCATAAAGAGAGCTGAGAGGTTTATTTTCCTTTACACTTCCTTTTCTTTCGGTGCTTTTGCACTAAGAATATCAAGTCTGGTCTTCCCTGGTTTTTCTGGAGGACTCCTGAGAGTTCTCAAAATGTGGCTCAAGAGTCTCTCTCAGTCCTTTATGGGAGGGGTAGGATTCTGAATCTTTACCAAAGACATCTTTTCTGTCTCAGCGTTTCTCACTGTAAGCGTGTGGGACTCACCCCTGCAGCGCCTCCTGCTGGTGTCTTGGGAATTAGCTCTACTTCCAGCCTTGGAGTGCCCTCTGCAGGCCAGTGTCCCACTTACCCCGGGCCCCCATGTCCCTCCCGGACCCGGTGCCCCTTGTACACCAGGGTGCTGCCCCCTGGCAGAAACCCCTCACTTGCAGGGTCTCCCCTCCCCGGGGAACCCCTACCCTCTATCCCTACCTCGCCTCCATCGTCAGCTACTGCCAGTCACCAGCTAGCCCCCGTGCCCTCGGGCAGACTGCAGTATAAGCCACTCATCACAGGCAAGGTTGGGTTTGTACCTGCTGCCTCTGGCTAGCCTTGGGCTGTCCCCTGCAACCCCAGTACCTGTTGGGCCTAATACTAGGCCGCAGCCTGGGGATTCCTGGCTGGAGCTCCCCAGCTCCTCAGGCCCTTCCCCAGCCCTGCTCCAATCTAGGTACTCTACTTAAGTCCCTGCAGCCAGGTCCCTCCCTCTCAGAAGCTACAGAGAGTCTTTCTCCTTTTACTAAAGATTTCCCTGGAGAGCCCTTTTATAGGGTCAGCTGAGACTGTTTGGGGCGTGGCCACAGCTGAGGCTGTCTCCCAATCAGCCCAGCCTAAGGCTCCCAGCCCCATCCCTCCAAGGGCTGGCTTTTAACCCCTTTGGAGCTGGAGTGGGTGACCACCCGCTACACTCAGGGACTTGAGTAAAATAAAAAATGTTCAACAGTCTAAGAATCCCTTTCCCCCTCAATTAATCAGGTTTCACTTGCATGATTCTTCTTGGTATCCTGTGTTCTAGTCATCTAGTCTAAGGAGGTACAGGGTAATAATAATGGCTCGTTCTTATTTAGCACTTTCCATCAGCATATCTCAAAGTGTTTTACATGAGATGTCAATGTCATTATCCCCATTTTACAGATGAGGAAACTGGGGGAAAGTGACTTGCCTAAGGTCACTCAGAGGGCCAGAGGCAGAGCAGGAGTAGAACCCAGCTCTCCTGAGTCCCAGTCCAGTACTTGTAAACAAGACCTGAATTTGCAATGTACAACAAACCCCACAGCCCTCTCAGGGCTTCTTTACCCATGATCAAGCAAAAGGCACGAACACCTTTCCCCTCACAGGTTACTTTTACAAGCCAAGTGCTGATACAGCTCATACAG